CCCATTTTTGAATGCTTCTTTTGGCATGGATGCGTTCAATTTGCTTTTGGGGCCTCCTTAGTAGCTCTGAGTTAATTCAACTGATAAAAGTTGCTTCAATTTAATTCAAAAGGAAATGGTCCATAATTGAGGCCATTTTTGACAGTTACTTGAAATTACTGCGGAAAACCAGTCTCGAAAATGGTGGAACTTGGTTGCAGACAACGATGCGGAAGTCAACGTCAATATGGCAGTATTATTGGCAAAGCTTTGAGGACCCAATCCGCATGATTACTCAATAGACAATCCATTGTCTTCGGACGGTTGATAATAGCACTATCCAGCAATGATAATATTCTCCGTTCCCGAGACTAAAAACCAGTGGCGTGACGTACTTTGCAATATATCGATTGATCTGCCATTTAAATCTGTGGAAAATGATCGATTATCAGGGATTCGCAACGAACACCTTGATAATCGATTCTTTACCATAGCTTCAAATGGGGAAAAATCGACTTATATCGAAGCACGCCACGCCACTGAAAAGAACGTAACTACTTTCCAGCATTTACACATTTCTACTCACTTGAGGTCCAGTTACACGATCAAATTGAGCCATCAAATTGGGCCTCTCATTGGTTGCATCCTCACCTCAGGTCTGTTTCCACCAATCAGAGCTTCAGTTTGATGGCTCAATTTGATCCTGTAACTGAACCTTAACTGTCCTGATGTAAGGAAACCGTTTGGCATTTCCACTTGAAAACTACATTGATTTTTCTTTTTCGAAAAATTTTGCACGGTTATATTTTTGGAACAATTTGACATACTAACAATAAGTCAATTTTGCTATCTTCGAATGGAGTTAAGATCCTTTGTTTTGAAATCGACTCCCTGTCACGAAAATAAAAAAGAACATGGTTTCTCAGCCAGCATATTAGACCCATTGTTTTGTCAAATATTGGGGCACGCGAAGGCGGGATTTCAGGCAGCAACAATTTAAACCAAACCGCTAATATCTCTGTATCAGAAAATGATTCATCCATCCTATTTGAGTAGCTGACAGTAAGTCTTTAATTCTTGACATTAAAAATCCTGCTGTTTTGTACCTGGGCTCCAACCGAGTTTGCAAAAAACGCTATAGAACACCGATGAATTCCTTTATCCTGCGTTCTTGTGCTGTGATTTGGCAACAATGGTGAATGACAATACAGAACAAAATACTCTGGATCATACAAAAGCTCTTTAAATTTTGGAAAAAAAAAATGTTTAAAAATCTCCACGAAATTTCGTTTGGTTTTTCTTCGTCCGTTCAAAAATGTTCTCTGAGCGGTTCATCATGCGGTACCGACGTGGAACCAATATTGGTTCCGCTTTATTGTCTTATAATTCTAATTTCACTGAAACACTCTGGATACATTGACTCAAATTTTTGAAATTTGAGAGAAATTAAGGTTCGTTCCGCTCAAAATATGCTACGATGTGTCCAAACCGAGAATCATTTAGGAAAAAAAAAATTAATATTTTAGAGATCTTTCATGCGCCCTGAAGAGCCCGCATCTACAAACTGGCATTTTGCAATGGTGTCGTTTCTCAGTAGAAATCTTCAAATTGCGTCCCTTTCGCAGTTTCCCTAGTAAAAATTGGGAATAAGAGCTGCGTTTCAAAATACCATAGGAATTCTTATAGCCGGCTAAAGAAGGCTACAGAAAATCATATAGCTGGCTGTAGAATGCGGAGAAAATCATGCGGCAGGGCTATACGAAGCGATAAAAAATTATACAGCCGGGCTATAGTTCCTATCGCCGGGCTTCACACTTTATCGCCTGGTTGTTGCTTTTTCGCCATCGTCTATAAAAGGCTATAAGAAATTGTGTAGAAATTCGTGTACTTTGGAATTCATTAAGTTTGATACGGAACCACCTTAATATCTACAAGACACACGCTATATTTTCCTTTAATACATATTTTTTTTCATCAATTAAAACGAGAGTAATCCATACAGGATGTGCAAACATTTCAAAATCATGAGTTGAATAACGCTAACTTCGCCAGATTAAATAATAGGGCCTAACACAAAGCGGAGCGGCGACGCACTGGCGCCTACAAACCTAACAGGGATACTTCACGCATTGCGCAACGCGTGAGGTATCCCTGTTAGGTTTGTAGGCGCCAATGCGCGTTCCGCGCTGGCTGCCCGCCTGCCGCACCGCAGCGTGCCACGGCGATGGCGCTTGAAGCAACTATTTCACACCAGAGGTATTGCACAGTATCATACGAAACTGAAGGCGCTCTAATATATTAGGAATGGCAGGCATCCATCAAAAGTACGGAGCTTTCCTCGCAAAATAAATTAAGAAACTACGGCCCAAATAGAGAGCAGTGGTCCAAAAACTCACCAAGTCCTAGCATCCGTAATTAGTGACGTTTAGGATACACTTTATCGCCTGGCTGTTGCTTAGTCGCCATCGGCTTTAAAAAGGCTATAAGAAATTGTGTTGTCGGCTGTAGGAGCTATTGGGAATCTTACAGCCGGCTGTAGGTCTATGGTATTTTGGAACACAGATTCTACTGCCAATTTTTACCAGGGTTTTGTTCGTTCATCTGTTAGCGACTCGCCGGCTACAGATACGGCCAAACAGACAAAATATCCCACTTATAGGATAGAACTTGAAACGTTTGAGAGACCTCTAAGAGTGATTTAACTTTTTCTTCCAAAATAATTCATGATTCGGACGCATCAAAGAATATTCTGAGCAAAAAGAACCTTCACTTTATCCAAATGCAAAAGTCATAAGAAACTTTCTGACTCTGATTGTGAGGCCTGATTCTGCTCAAACCCTTGATCCAATCAGGGTCAAATAGGCCTGTTGCAAGCTTCAGCTCAAGCAAAAAAAGAGAAGTTTCTTCGCGAAGGCGTCAGCCATGTTGAATATCGCGTAGCATCCAGGTGCGCGAGAGTTGGATGGAGCGACTCCTCTAACGAAATATTCATCTGTGCCGTAGCAGTGTTTTTAAAGCGGGGAGCTTAAAAAAACGCATATCGACGGTGCAAGTCGGCAATCACATAACTCGTTTGCGGTGTCTGAAAATCTCCGCAACTATGTTATTTTTTTAAAGGAGAACAAATGGACATGATTCCTTGCAGTTTTTGCAAAATTTTCCTCGCACATAGAAGAAAAATCACGGCAGTTTTAAGGAATTACCGTTGAGTAGTTTTCCGTTTAAAGAATAAAGTATGACAGGAAGTCTGCGACGTCGCAAATCGAGTTATGTGATTGCCGACTTTCACCGTCGATATTCTTTATGGAGATTGCAAATTTAGGAGTGTATTTCAGACTTTGCCGATGCGCTCATTGTGATTTTTGAATTATTTTCTACGAAAGATACCTCTTTTTTTTGCGTTAGCCGAAGTTTGCAACAGGCTCATTTTACCTTGCAATCGCGCCGCACGGTGGATCGAGTCGATTAGAGAGGCCGGACATGAAATTTTTGACCAAATCTGCAAATTTTGATGTTTATCTGGTCAGATTTTAAATTTTAAGGGGTGCCTCTAGAAGAAAATTTTACGAAGAAACCAATGGAACCACTTTTGGAACTGCAGGGTTTTGTATAAGCGGAGTTATCAGCGTTTAAAGTTTCCAAATTTTGTCCGACCTCTCCTATTGACTCGATAACCATTGTGCGCCGAGTCTCGTCTCGTCGGTGAACTCGTCGCCAGAGGGCCGACGCACGGTGGATCCAATCAATCGGAGAGGTTGAACATGAGATTTTTGACTAAAACTGCAAACTATGATGTTTATTTCGTCACATTTTAAATTTCAAGGGGTGGTTTAAAACATAAATTCCACAAGGAAACCAATGGAATCACTTACAGAACCTCAAAGTTTTGCACAAACGGAGTTATAAGCGGTTAAAGTCTCCAAATTTTGTCCGACCTCCCCCATTGACTCTAGAGTTTTTGTATACGGGAGAGTATTCCCACCTCAATTTTTTTACCACAGAAAAAGTGTGCTGCTCTCTGATTGGTCGGCTATCATGGAGCCCCAAAAAGTTGGACCAATGCGTAAGCAGACCCCAGCCCCCCTCCTACCGAGCCTAGTTTGGCCCAATGTAAACAAACAAGATGGCGGAAAAGTCTGCACAGTTCTAGACGTGATTTCGGGCGTAATAGAAATTTTTTCATTTCCAACTTCTGAATTGAGTTCGGTTCGATCTTTGATGAATGTTTTTGCCGAAAACTAAGCTTCAAGTGCGATTGTCATTCATCTCTTAGCCGATGATACGTGTTCCTCTGGGTTAGATTTGTTTACATTGGTCCGACTTTGGGGCTCTATAATAGCCTAAACCCGTTTTTTTTTTTTTTTTTTTTTTTTTTTTNTTTTTTTTTTTTTTTTTTTTTTTTTTTTTTTTTTTTTTTTAAATTTATTTGGCTTCTATTTTAGTTGAGGAATCTACAGCCATCTGTAGACAAGAGTTTAACGCAGAGATTATTTTTTTATTGTCAGTAGACATCAGGAGGATTTTTTTGGCACACCCATGCTCCAACTTTCAAATTTTCAGGGATTAAGGCCGAGTAGTACCTGTTTCTGTAGATCCACTCGTCAGTTCTGTGAAAATTTGTCGCTACCACCTGGATTCGAACCCGGGACCTATTAGTCTCGATCTGGCGTCAGACGCGCCGACCGATTCAAACCCGGGACCTATCGATCTCGATCTGAAGTCAGACACGCTGATCGATTTGAACCCGGGACCTATTGCGTATTGGTCTCGATCTGGAGTCAGACGCGCTGACCGCTAGGCCATCCTGGCCGGCTAGCCTAAAACTGACGAACCAATCAGAAAGCGGTACAGAGATGGCAATACTCTCCCGTATACAGTTACTCTAATTGACTGGATCCATTGTGCGACGCTGGTGCGATCTGTCAAAATCCGTCCAACTCGGAGCGCGAGTATCGTTTAATCGTTTATCTTGGCCCGAGCAAGTTCGCGAGTGAACAATCAAAGCTGTTTACACTAGCCGGTATCTTCTGCTCGCTCCCGTGCGCGCCTCGCGGCCGGCTCCCAGTCCCAGTCAAGTGGAGACCGTCGACCACGGGCAACGCGAACGCTAACGAGCGTCACCGCGCATAAATTCGCGATTATCAGCCGCGAGGTCTCAAATTTTATCGCCCCGGCCCCCCCGGTGCCCCCCCTCCTTGCCCCCTCTTCGAATTTTAACGTTCTTTTATCCTTGAAACTTTACCTTGAGTGTTTTTGGTTTTTAACGTATGATTAGTGTAGGTTATATCAGTTAACGGGCAGTTCCTTGAGGAATTCGTAATCATGTTCCCCCCGAATGTTAAGGTAGGTTACTGGATTCATTAGTCTTTCATTCACATCCATACCTCAAAATAAAAGAAAAATCGGGCGAAACTGTGGCTAGGTGTCAAAATTGGGTTCTCGTTGTAAAGAGATCCTTAAAAATTGGTTTGGTAACATGACTAACTTAAAATCCAATCGATTTTTTGTGTAAGGACGTATGTTCCTCGATACTGCTCAAAATGTTTGTGTGAATGGGCTACCGAAGATTCTTCTACCAAGAATTCTTCTTTGTCCTTCCAGGAATTTTCTCTGTAAATTTCGAGCAAAAATGTAGAATATTCCTAAGATTGTAGAGGAGCGGACGTTTTGGAACACTACAAAAATTGAGAGGCCTTAAAGACAAGGTGCATAAGTGCAGTTCTTGAAAAAATTGAGGTATCAATTATTTCAAATAAAACTTGTCATTAAGCGTTTTCTGGGAAAAATTCGCACCAAAATTCCAATTTTTAAGCATCAAAAAGTCAGTTTGAACTTTCTTTCCACCACAAGGATCAATGTAATTTCGAACACGTATTTCTCGAAATAGCAAAAACTGTACTTAGGTGCCTTGCCTCCAAGCCCCTCAAATGAGATCCATGTTATCGTATTTTCATCGTCAATATTGATGCCAAAATGCATACCGCTCATTGTGACCCGAACTTTTCAGTCTATGAAATCGTGCATTTCCATTGCATGAAACTGACCTGCCAGTTTTCAAAAAAAAACTTCCAGGGGCTCGTGCCCCTTACTGCAACCAAGTTACGGTAACCGGAAATTCGGGCACAGTAACCGGAAGTTCCGTTTCATAGTTTGAACAGTTCAACCGACTCTCAACATCAAACTTCAAGTTCATGCAACTGAATTTTTTTTTTCGGTGAGCGCCCTTCGGATGCCTCAAACCAGCTGTCGTTTATCAACAGTTAGACGACCTGGTGGGTCACATGCATCTCCGAGTTTTTGTGGGCTCTTACGGTTTTTGGCTCACTTGCCTATGATTGCGATTTGTCGTGGATTTTGGTGATGTCACGAGCACCGGTTTTTACTCGCGAATGCACGCGATATTCGCGGGACTCCTCTGGCAAGCGACCCGCGAATATCCGCGAAAATTTCACAGATCGCGGTGGGAAAGTGCGGAGCGTGAAGTCCTGCCATGCTAAGAAAAAACGCCGTATGAACCTTCAGGCGTTGCCAAATCTCTTTTCAGAAAACACAAATTTCCTGGTAAACTTATGAACATTTTTCTTCCAATTTTTCAGATAATTTTGTTTGCAATTTCACCCAAAGTCCCTGAGAATTTCAAGGAAAAATAATCATAACTTTCCTCAACAATAAACATTTAATTGAAGGAGATTTGACAACTCTTGAATGTTCATACGGCGTTTTTCCTTAGCACGGCAGCATGGAAGTCCCACGCTTTCAGCACTCACGTGTCAGACGAAGATTCGCGGGTATTTGCATATGCTTTTAACTTTTGAACAATTTTCCTTAGTTTTATAGGAACACTTGAGTACTTACGTAAATTCAATATATTTGGTCATACGTCAAAAACATGAGCCATGTAATCATACCAGGGGCTTGGAAAACAAGGCGCATAAGTGCAATTTTTGTTATTGCAAGAAATACGTGTTCAAAGTTTCAAAATTACATGGAGCCTTATGACAGAAAGAAAGCGTAAACTCACTTTTTGATGCTTTGGATTTCAGTTGTGAATTTTTTACAGGATATACTTTCAAACTAGTTTTAATCGCCCTCATGAATATTTCAATGTTTTTGTCAAAAAATGCACTTATGCGCTTTGTTCTCCATACCTCTCATATGTAGGATTAATTTTATGCCCTCCACCTGCCCCCCTACCCGACGTCATCAACCACGATGCTGAATAATTTCTTTAGAAAAATGTGCAGCTTTTAAAGGGTTGACAGATATTTTAACGTGTTTTCAATTCCTTCCTTGAAAAAGTATTATCTGCAGATAAAATTGGGCAATACATGTATCTATTACGCTAAAAGCTTATCACTCGGAGAATTTTTCGCGGGTCGTCACAGTAACAGGGTACGAGATACGCCGGAACAACAGTTTTACACAGACAAAGTCCCAAAGAACTGGTTTCCGCGGATTTCCCGAAACCGGACCCGTCACACAGTTTCAGCGGCGCTTGAAATGAAGCTCTTAAACGCATACAAATTGCGAGCAATAAACGCCGACAGACGATTATCGGATGAGACATCAATAAACGCCGGGTAATACCAATTTAACCACGTGCTAAGGCATGCAGCCAAGATCAGACGCAGTCCCATTAGGGAAGCTATACTCAATGAACTTGGAAGTTCATCTTTTACAAGCAGGTGCTTTAGCGGTTTTTATGAGCGCAGTTAACGTTCCACACATACATATGAATACCTGAAGAGCTGCCACTTTAAACTAATCTGGAAGGTGTGTAACCTACAGCGACGGCGCAATGCTTGAAGAGTTAAGGAAGTTTCGCCACTTCCCCCATATACTTTTAGATCTATAGAGTCCCAAACTTCTTACTAAAAAATGCTTAAATACGTTGTCCTANGGGGGGGGGGGGGGGGGGGGGGGGGGGGCTTGATTTATGAGAAGATTTTTTACGCTGCAGATTTTCCTTTAATGAGCAAAAAACTACCTATAGATTTATTTTTTACTTACAATTTGCTGTTTCAAATTTAATTCAGTAGCTAGGTATAGATTTAATAAAAAAGGCTTTTGTCTTCATTTTTTAACAATTAAGTTACAAATACTGTAGATTTTATTAAATTTGTAAAAAAAAAAAAAAAAAAAAAAAAAAAAAAAAAAAAAAAAATTACAAGTGCTTTCAGCAGAAGCAGAAATTAACTGAAATTGAGGCAGAAAATGATCCCTACGAGTGTGTAACTTAGCCAAAAGAACTCGATGCAAAGTGGATGAACTTGAATAGCCTGTACCTGCGGGTCAAGGGAAGAGGGTAAATCTGCTGGATACAATGGCGAGGTATGAATGATCGATCATCGATATTTCCCCATTTGAAACTAGGGTTAAGAATCGATCATTAAGGTGTTCGTTGCGAAGATCCTGTTTATCGATCCTTTTCCATAGGTTTAAATGGCAGACCAATCGATATATCGCAAAGCACGCCAAGCCACTGGCTGGATACTGCCACCTTGACGCCTGATTAGTCATTCAACTTTCACTTTGACTGAATACTCTTTAGAATATTGCTTGCTTGTACATTTAATCATATGTCATTGATTCGTATAGCTGGCAAAATTTTCTTCCTTTGAGCGTCAAAAACAATCAAATAAGTTTACTTGCTGTACGGGTAAAAGATAGAGACCTAGAGAGAAGGAGACGATTAAGCTGCTTACTTGAACGTGCCATGTCAGCTGATCAGTTGGGCGTAGAAAAAACTATGGTGCACGCAAACCCTTTGCTTATAGTTTCTTTCAGCATAAATAGTCCAATTTCACAGGCGTTATGCAGACTTACCGCCATGAATTCTGATTTGACCTCGCTGACGATTCTCCACAGCTCTTCAAGTTTGATGAGTTTCCCGGTAACTTTCACTGTCGGTTCACGCTCAAGAATCCAAGATATTTCTCCCAAGATTTTGAGTCGACACATGCATATTTTGCATTAGATGAGTAATTTATTTCTGGCGTAAACTTTTTTGCCGTAGGTGAAGTTTGCGAGGCGATCAAGGAGAACAATTAAATTTAATGTTACCTAACAAGGTGAATACACGATACTCACAATTTTGTAGTTATATTATTTATCGTCAGCGAGCCTACAATCAATTTTTGGAGATTATTTTCTGAAACCTAGATATTGCATCAATTCAGATGTGTGTAGCTTAAAGAGCCCGTTTCATATAACTTGTCATTTTTCACTGTAAGCGCGTAAAATGGAAAATAGGCGCGGAACAATTTATCTGAAACGGGTTGTTTCTATTTTAAAAAGTTCAAAAGTTATGGAGGTGAGTAGATTTCATCTTTCAAAAAGGCAACATCGCACTCAAGGGCTGGAGGCTAAACCAACCCCGGATTTAGGCCGGAAGTGGTCCTCTATCACTGGCAGTGATTTCATCAAATTCGGGAACGGGGGACTTTCGGGGGTATGTGCATTGAGTCCTCTCGGACTTCTTCCTATTTTCCATGTCTCACTTCTCCTTCTAAGGTACCTTTGAGGAGCTTGACACCCCTAAAACGCTCACCTAATCCTGATTTTTGGGAGGAAAAATTAGAGCATCTTAAATTACACCGTTTCTACTTATTCTAGTTCTGCTTCGATACCCAGGCCGCAGACTCGATCTCAACTTTCGTAGCGCTGACGACACAGGCACCGCGCCTTAAGTGCAATACCTTTTCTTCTCAAATGATCATCTCTTACTGCACGCCGTTTCAGACTTACGTAAGATAGCCTTGACCCTATTCCCTCTTTTCAGGGCACCTATCAGGCACCTCTGGACCCTCCTCGCCTAAGTCCCTGACATGAATTATTGACGGCCCCCAATTGATCTTCTTTTATCTGGTGCAAAAGGAACGCTCTTCGCGGCTTAAACATCTTTATTTACCTCAGGCAATTTAGGTTTCCTGTCCAAAGCATCTGATAAAATGCCCGGTTGCACTGGCGTTAATGTGACCAACTATACGAAGAGAGATCTCAGTGCAAGGAAGGAAGCAAAATTGTCAGTAAAGCAATTTATTTTCAAATTGAGTTAAAAAATTGGATTTTTTAAATGACGGAAAACTCCGAGAACCCTGAAGAATAAGTTGCAAGCGATTAGGTTCATTTTTCCATTATTTGGGACGTGAAGTAAAACTATGATTTGAATTACATTTTGCAACAAGGAACCACTATCTCTGGCTCTCCCATAAAAGCACATAGGTATCTGCATAGGGAAACCAATGGCATGTATGTTGTTTCTAAAATGGGCCAGAAGTAGTGTTCCCTTATTGCAAAATGAGATCCATTTAGCGCTTTCCTACTCTGAACATAACAGACTGGAATTGAGGGGCTCGAGGGACAAGGCGCATAAGTGCACTTTTTGAAAAAAATGAGATATTCATGAACTCAACTAAAACTAGTTCGACCGTACATACTGTAAAAAATTCACAACTAAAATCCAACTTTAAAGCATCAAAAAATGAGTTTAAACTTTCTTTTTGCCATATGGCTCCATGTAATTTTGAAACTTTAAACGCGTTTTTCTTGAAATAGCAAACACTGCACTTATGCGCCTTCTCCTCCAAGCCCCCCCCCCCAATNCAATTTTGAATGACTTTTTCTCAGACTACGTTTCTATAATTCATGACGAACTTCAAAGTCCCTGAACTTTGGTTTAACCTGATATTTTTGGATGCTATTTGTCCCAAAAGTTTTGTAGAACACTCCCACGTGCTCTAGTGTTGATAAGTTTAAGTTCTAATGGACTCAGGCCTCATTTCTCCTCCATGGACGGTCACAAATGGACGTATTCCTGCCAAATGGAACTATGTGCATTATGACGTGAGCTCTGTTATGCATATAACCTTATGGGTCTCAGGGCTCAAGTCTTAATGCACATAGTTTCGTTTGGCAGAAATCCGTCCAAATATTTAAAATTCTCGCCACCAGCCGCGACCAACGCTAATTTAAATCTTTCGACAAAGAATTCTCGGCAGTTCTCAAAACGGCTTATCTCTGTTTGCGGCATTGTAGACTACCTGTCATACTTTATTTTGTTTCAGTGTAAGACTATTCAACGTCGGTGCTTGTAAACTGCCGTTATTTTTTCTCTCTGCACGGAAAGAAAGAATATTAGAGGTTACGAGATTCCTGGTTACGTATTGATTTCCAGGAACTCTAGCAGCCAGAACTAGATTTCTGACTGTGCATATCACGCGGCTGGTAAAGGTAAACAAATATAGGTGTGATTAATACTGACAGAAATCTAGTTCTAGTTACTATGTCATTTATTGGTACCGGAGATTTAAATGTAATCAGGAGTGTCGTGCTTAGCCGGTAAAATTATTTTTTACCTGTCTATGTGATGGATATTCTGATGTATATTTTCATGGGAGTAACGCGTAACGTATAGGTAATGCCTGAGGCACGAAGCGCTTTGGGAGGTTGGTCCGCGAAGCGGTCAGGGGTGTAGCTCCTAGTTCCGTTATAATTTCAAGGAGTGATGTTCATTTGGACTACATTTTGCAATCAGGAACTAAAATTTCTAGCTCATCTTACAAAACACATTTGAAGGGCTTGAGGACAAGGTGCATAGGTGCAGTTTTTACTATTTCGAGAAATACCTACGTGTTGGAAGTTTCGAAATTGCGTGGATCCTTATGCATGCAGGATAGAAAGTTGAAACTGACTTTTTGATGCTTAAAAATTGGAATTTGGGAGCGAATTTTTCACAGAATATGTATTAAGACGAGTTTTAGTTGAAATCATTAATATCTCAATTTATTTAAAATTTTAGGTAATTTTCACTGCACTTGTGTGCCTTGTCCTCACCCTGGTAAAAATTGGCGATAGGAGCTGCGTTTCAAAATACCACAGGAGTTCTTATAGCCGACTGAAGAAGGCGATAGAAAATCATATTGCTGGCTGTAGAAAGAGGAAAAAATCATACGGTCAGGCTAGACGAAGCAATAAAAAATTATACAGCCGGGCTATAGTTCCTATCGCCGGACTTAACACTTTATCGCCTGGCTGTTGCTTTTTCGCTATCGGCTATAAAAGGCTATAAGAAATTGTGTAGAAATTCGTGTGCTTTGTAAATCCTTAAGTTTGTAGGGAATCACCTTAATGTTCACAACACGCACATTCTATTTTCCTTTACTACATATTTTTTTTCATCAATTAAAATGAGAATAATCCATAGGGGAGAGTGGGGTTATTTATGGTCCTACAGAGTGTGCAAACATTTCAAATTCATGAGTTGAAGAACGCTGACTCCACGAGATTAAATATTAGAGCCTAACACAGAGCGGAGCAGCGGCGCACTGGCGCCTACAAACCTAACAGGGATACTTCACGCATTGCGCAATGCGTGAAGTATCCCTGTTAGGTTTGTAGGCGCCAATACGCGTTTAGCGCTGGCTGCCCGTCTGCCGCACCGCAGCGTGCCACGGCGCTTGAAGCAACTATTTCACACCAGAGGTATTGCACAGTATCATACGAAATTGAAGGCGCTCCAACATATTAGGAATGGCATGCATCCATCGAAAGTACGGAGCTTTCCTCGCAAAATAAATCAAGATACTACGGCCCAAAAAGAGAGCGGTAGTCCAAAAACTCACCAAGTCCTAGCATCCGTAATTAGTAACGTTTAGCATACACTTTATCGCCAGGCTGTTGCTTAATCGCTATCGGCTTTAAATGGCTCTAAGAAATTGTGTTGCCGGCTATAGAAGCTATTGGAAATCTCACAGCCGGCTGTAGGTCTATGGTATTTTGGAACACAGATTCTACTGCCAATTTTTACCAGGGCAAAACCCCTCATTTGTGCCATTTGTTTCACTGTGCGGATGGATACTATTAGTCCCATGCAAAATGCAGTCAATTTCCTCTCCACTACAAAAATGAGTTTGGAGAGGAGATTTTGAAGCATCCCAAACGAGACGCGCGTCTGAGGATTTCAACATCGTGTTCTTTTTTATGCGTAGTTCCATGTTCTTTTTTTTATTTTCCGCTCCTTTTCCCTATTTTCCTCTCGAACGCATCGATCGAGGAAAGAGGTGCGTCCACCTGCAGCTCCTGCAAGAGCACTCAAGCGCGAATCCACGCTAATCGGCGATTCTCGTGCGCCTGCTCAATTAAAGCCGGATGACCTTGGCTTAAAATTACTCCGGTGTTTGTGTGCAGAATTTGACGGAGGTGATCCAGAATGGAGCCCGATCCGACAGTGGAACGAGTTGTCGGGAGAGATCGGACGAGAAATTTTTTACTGAAACTGCAAAATTTACTGTTTAACCCGTCACAATACCGATTTTAAAGGGTGCTAATGGACGGCAATCTTACGAAGGAACCAATAAAATCGCTCTGAAACCTCTACGTTCTGTTTTGACAAAGATACACTGCCGTGCTAAGAAAGAAAGCCGTATGAACATTCGAGAGTTGCCAAATTTCCCTTGATAAAACGTGTATTTTTGAAGCAATTTAGGCATATTTTTCCTTGAAATTTTCAGATAATTTAGATTAAATTGCGTCCAAAATAGTCTAGTAGTTGTGGGGAAAAATATGTTCAATTTTCCCAGTAAATTCAGGTCTTATCGAAGGAAATGTGGCAACGCCTGAAGGTTCATGCGACGTTTTTCCTTAGCATGGCGGTACAGACCTTTAAATTTTCCTCTTCAGATCTCATTTTTCCCATTGACCCGCTCCACTGTGCGACGCACCACCGCAACATATGAATCGGCGGGTTAAAAAATCGAGCAAGTCCCTTTTTCGATGAGCTTTGAACCTCATGAGAATGTCTGTACATTATGATTCATTGGATAATTAACATGTTCGCTTTCAATATCTACCGATTCATATCCGATTCGTATTTATTGATTTTGCCTCTGCTTTATGTATTGACATAATTTACGCGTGTGGTTTTGCGCGTCGTCATCACACGCATCGACTTGACTGGTATCAATATGCCTCTATTTACATGGTATATCGGTACCAAGAAGTTAACTTTTTGGGAAATTTATGGTTGCCATTAAAAATTACAACTAAAAGAAAAGATTCCAAGTAACGAAGATCGCGATAAGATACGACATGATCGGAGAACGTATCAGATTCATATGTATATTCCCAAGGCTTTAATCAACTCAGCGTGCTTTGCTCCTTGTCGATGGCTTAGCTCGACGTTTTTCCGTTTGTAATGTTACAGATTTCCAGTAATACTTTATTATGGAATCGGAAAACTTAAAACCGTACTTTCTTGAGTAAATTTTTAGTTTTTCCTCTCTCCCTTTCTCTCTGTAAGGAATATTTTGAGTAAATTAAGCAGTCCGTTTCTTCATAGGAGGGGAAAGTGAGAATCTTAAAGTTTTTTTTCATAATTTAGGTATTTCATAATATCCTAAAATAAATAATAGGGGAACATATCTTGATGACAAACCCCCAACTTAATTTCCTCAAAATATTTCTTTAAGAGAAAGGAGGAACGAAACACTTACTGAAGAAATTGCATTTTGAAATATACCGATTCTAAAGAAAGCACTACTTGAAATCTTCAAAGTCACAAACGGAGAAATGTCAAGCCAAGCCATCGATGAAGAGCAAAGTTTTGCTGAGTTAATGGACACCTTAAGAAATTTAATATGTAATTCGTTGCGTTTCAACGTGAACTGCATAGTAACGTCTTGAATACAACTATTCCTGCTGTAAAGATGCTGTAATTGCATACATGAAAAATAGAAGGCGTTTTGGAAATGTAATATTTATCGTGTCGCGTCACAACGTGAATTGCATGGTAACGCCTTGAATACAACTATTCCTGCTCTGAAGATGCCCTAATTGCATACACGAAAAATAGAAGGCGTTTCGGCTTTCCGTGCCCGCCCGGCGATTGTGCGTGATTTCGGATTATTTCAATAGTATTCGTAAATGCTAAAAACCTATTCAACTTGGTTTCGTTGAGTCGAAATACATTTCATTTTCGGGGTTTGCTTATGATCGTGCATCTTTTTGGGCAAATCTAGGTCTATCTGAAAACGGGTTTTGTCGGCAAAAAAGTGAAACCATTTTTTTTTTCGTTGATGTTACACTTTTTCTATATTTTCAGGTGCTACTAACAAAATTCGCCTCGGTTGTTACGCGGCTGAAATCGGAAGACTCAGTGGATCTAGAATCAAACAAGCCGAAATTGGCGAGAGTGCTGACCGTTCTTGATCTGACAGCGTTGGGAATCGGGTCAACTCTTGGTGTTGGTTCCTACGTCTTACCGGGAGAGGTCGCTCGCAATACAGCTGGGCCTGCTGTCACTGTCTCTTTCTTCATTGCTGCTGTTGTCTCCATTCTTGCCGGTAAATTCACAAGATCGTTTTTCAAAATCGATGATCTTTAAATATTCGACTCCTACTCCTAAATTTTTGCAACAAATTAAGAGTTTCTCAAGGAAATAAAATGTTTTCGAAATGACTTTAATTTTTAAAATTTTCTGAAATAACCCGTTTTACTGAAAGTTGCGGCAGCTTCGCTGATCGCCTGAAAAAATCAAGTGTGCGTAAAAACTACTGCAGATACTCATAACTTCTAAAAGAAAAAAAAAAAATTATCAATCGAGAAAAATGATTGCGACATTTCCTTACCTATGCAAGAGAGTGCAACCATTTTCATTATAATGCATGATTCAATGATGCGTCATATCAACCTTACCTTTCATTTCTAAAATTTTAAAAAGCCGTAAAACTATGTAAATACGTCGTAATGATGCATTTGAGTAAAGTTTTTGTTGCGATATGCAGGTAAAACTATATTTTGAGTCATTTTGTATTTACATTTACTCACAGCGTCCGTCATTTTAGGGCCTTACAAGGCCCCATTGAGCCTAAGATGGCTAAGCCAATCACAGATGGTAACCGAAGTGACCAAATGCTCCCTATAGAGGTACTCAAATAACACTTCGCTCCAAGGCCGAAACATGAAAAGAAAATCAGGAAATCTGTACATTTTAGAAGTATCAGAGTATTTATAGTAGCATGTCTCATTATTTTTGCACTCCTTGGACAAAGTCGGCGTGCTGGAATCTCGGCAATCAAGCACACAGCGTATTCGGGCACATTTCATCGCTCATCTGACGTGAGGGCGTATGTCGATTTCCGCGTGAACCCTGTTGTCGAAATAACTCCATGCTTTGTGGGGCTCACGCTGAAACAATGATACGCCCTTACACTAGAGAAGCGACCATTTATTATGTAAGTAGAGAGCCTTTGCAGGGAGAGCGTTGCATGATAGATCATGTGCGAGTAACACCTTCAGACAAGTGAAGGAAAAAACATGCATAAGTATTAGTTCAGTGGCTTGCTGCCAACGCCTCCATAAGAGAGTATAGGACCTAATGGGTTAAAATCGTCTCGCATCTGACTTTGAAGTAAACCGTTCACAAAACTGGCTTGAAAATCCTGCGATTTTTCTCTGGTTTAATTCAATTAATGGAGTATTTTCTTTTTGTTTTGTAATTCATGCTTTTTTTTGTGCAGCTCTTTGTTATGCCGAGTTTGCAGCTCGAGTTCCTAAAGCAGGATCAGCATACGTTTACAGTTATATGACTGTCGGCGAGTTCTGCGCTTTCGTCATAGGCTGGAATCTCATCTTAGAATATGTCATCGGTAAGAAGCTCTTATGAGATACTCGGCGGACAAGGCGCATAAGTACAGTTTTTGCTATTCCAAGAAATAAGTATTTAAAGTCTCAACACCACAAAGAGCCTGATGACAGAAAGGAAGTTTAAACTCACAATCATTTAAAGTTGGAATTATGTTGCGAATTTTTCACAGAATATACTTTCAAACTAGTTTTAGTTGAGTTTAAGAATATCTCAATTCCTTCAAAAACTGTACTTTTGCGCCTTGTCCTCCAAGCTCCTCATATCATATGAATCGTTAGGAATCGAAAATCCTCACATTTTTATAGGATTGGGATATAAGCGAATGTAACCCTCACAGCGTTATACTGTTCTTGCTCTTCGTGCATCTGGACAGATACTACGGCTAAAAAATTGTAACACTTGCTCTTATGCAGGAAAGGGGGGAGGAGGGTGTAAATTTTTTTCTTTCAATTCTTCAGAGACGCTCTAAAGGTACTTTTAGTTCAATGTTAAATGTTCATGTTTGTATTTCGAAAGTATATGACCACAAATAAAAGCTCTCATATCAATGAGGCAGACTATTCCAATGAGATGATCTAAAAACTTCGCGCGTTTAATTCACTATTTTGTGCTTTCACGCTCCAAAACGTTAAATGCTCCCAAATCGTCAAGTTTTCAACTTTCTTCGTGCCGAGAAAACCAAAACGTCAACTTAAAACTAATTTGGTACTAGACTGCACGATTTCGTGAGATTTACTTTGCAATTGACTCACTTTTCAAGTGTGCTAGGTATTTGCCGGCAAGTTACCATGCGATCACGCCTTGTATGAGAAAAAAACTTTTCATGAAATTAACTTCTAGTTAATTTAAGGAGGGTAAGTTGTAAGTCCCTTCCCTGGTAAAAATTGGCGATAGGAGCTGCGTTTCAAAATACCATAGGAGTTCTTAAAGCCGACTAAAGAAGGCTATTGAAAATCATATAGCTGGCTGTAGAAAGCTGAGCAAATCATATAGCCGGGCTATACGAAGCTATAAAAAAGTATACAGTCGGGCTATAGGTCCTATCGCCGGGCTTTACACTTTATCGCCATTGGCTATAAAAGGCTATAAGAAATTGTGTAGAAATTCGTGAGGATCGTTACTGAATTTTGCGCGACACGCGCAAAATTCAGGCAACGGGCCGATGACTTCCACATTCAAGCCACATTCAGCTCCCACATCCAGTTCCCACATCCAGCGTGTGATTGCGGCATAAGTTGATTTAAACATTTCTAAAAATGTTCAATCCGATACACTTGGTGAAAGAGCATAAATTCAGGTTTTTTATTTCTTACCCTATCTGATATCAAGATCTCCTCCTAAAGTCGCGTGCGAACTTGAGGATAATAGCCGGGATACAAGATGCCCTATCCATCTAATTAAGAGGGCTTCAATTCGTCTGCGACCTTACTGACCGGGCGTCTAGGCAGTTTTCGCGGTCAATGAGTGACCACTGTCGAGACGCCATCCGAGAATCCCGAAGCACAACGCTTCATCGCCGTTTTCCATTTATGCAAATGAAAAAGTAATCGTAACGCTATTACCAAGTGCGAGGTCGTGCCTGAAACGCTCTGTCTAAAAGTTCGATGATCTGGGTTAGAAATGGCAAGTTCGAAATATGCTGTCCTATGATAAAATAGTCTCAGTATCTGCTAAATTGCCTCTGGACCGTTTTAGAACAATAAGTCTAGACTACGGTCGTAAAGTCTGGTCAAAAATCCATAAATAAAGCAGACGGACAGTTGAAGAGAGTGAAGGATCTTCAAGTTCACATCAGCGAGAGTGTAAATTTGGTCTGTGAAATTTCCGAGTTGAATGGTCGCGACGATTTAAAAGGGGCGAGAGGCTCTTGAGCAATTGATTTTAACTGCTATTAGATTACTTTTTAAATAAAAGGATCGGGGTAAAGAGTTAAGGGACATTTTTCATGCAACAATTGGACTACATTTTGCAATAAAGAACTGCTATTTCTGGCTCATCATTAAAAGCACCTATATCTATGGGGAAACCAAAAGCACATAGTGTTGTTTCTGAAATGAACCAGAAATAGTAATTCATAATTGCAAGTGAAGCAATTTCAAGTGGAACTCGTCTCACAGCGTGCCTATTGAATGAAATAATTGAACACTGCAGCTCATTCAGCCATTCTGAGACACATCACTGATAGGAATGTTAAAAAAAAGTTTCGAGGTACCGCTATTTTAGATGTTTTAAAAATACAGACATATCTTTAGAGAGTTTTTTTGGCACATTTGTGCAAAATTAGCAAGGAATATTCTTGAAAGAAAAATTAAAATATAAAATATATTGAAGCAAGAAATCAAATGCTGATTATAAAAAAATGAATGTTACAAGAAACTGCATCCAGGGCCGGATTTTCCTACTTGCCGCCCATGGACCGCCTGCATTTCGCCGACCCCTTCTCATTCGTGTTGAAACATCGATAAAAACCATCAAGTGCCAGCGGGGAGGGGTGCATAAGACGCGTTTACTCGTGTTGAACACATTTTATGGGAAAGCCCTGTCAACACTACTAGCGAAAGGTCACGGAACTTTGCGCGAAAGTCAAGTTTTGGAAACCTATCTCTAATGGACAAAGCCTCCCATTTATAAGAAATGAACGAACAAGTTATGAGAGAACAAACACAAAATTTGGTTTAATGATTTTAACTTCCGCCGCCGCGCCGACCGCACCGTGTTTGGCGCAATGCGTGAAGTATTCACGCAGTCTTGTAGGCGCTATGCGTTTCACGCTGACTGCACTGTGTTTGGCGCAATGCGTGAAGTATTCATGCATTCTTGTAGGCGCTATCCGTTTCACGCTGACCGCAATGACCGAACTGTGTTTGATGTAATGCGTGAAGTATTCGTGCAGTCTTGTAGGCGCTAATATGTGTTACATGCCGATCGCCGCGCCGAGGGCTTCTCCATTTCATCTCAAGTCCTCGTTATCATTTCTCTCCAAGTCGCGCCGTTCCAGGCCAAATTGCGTGATTGGTTTCTCTCGTAACTCGACTTATTGAGGGTGTTGTCTCCTGTATCACTCAGAGACGACAAACTTAGAAATTACTATACTCTCAGGAGATGAGAGATTTTGTCGCCTTTTCTCGTTTGTAATTTTGTTTTTATAAATCCGATTTTTTTTAATACCTACACTTTAAAAAATTGCAAATTTTTGCCGCCCCTTAGATTTGCCGCCATAGGCCGCGGCCCATGTGGCCACCCCCTTAATCCGGCCCTGAATACAGACATTTCTGTAGAGACTTTTTTTGGCACATTTGTGCAAAATTAGCAAGGAATATTCTTGAAAGAAAAACTACAATATAAAATATATTGAAGCAAGAAATAAAATGCTGATATAAAAAAAATGAATGTTACAAGAAACTGCATCGTCTGAAATTGTAAAACTTTTTTTTTTTTTTTTTTTTTTTTTTTATTTCCCCTTCGATTTTCATAGTTCCTAATTATCAAAATATTACTTTGCTCTCACTCAGGGACGGCCAGTGTTGCAAAGGCACTGTCGGGATACCTGGATGCCCTGACAGGAAAAGTGTTCGAAACGTACATGTTGCAACATTATCCGATGAATGTCAGTTTTCTCGGTCCTTATCCAGATTTGATCTCATTCTCCGTCATCATGCTACTTTCATGTAAGTATTACGCCTCCTTGATCAATTTATCTCAGGTAATTGAGCTCGAATAAACTATTATCGACATTCATAAAAGGCGTACAAAAACACTTGGGAAAATGTGAAGTACTGATTCATCAATATGTCAATGACTTAAGTTTCAAAATACGTAATAACGGTTCCATGTTAACTTTGTTCTCCTCTCAATGCTCGGTCGTTCTATGTGGATCAAACTAATAATAATTTACCATGCTTTCCTAAATTGCAATCTTAATAGCCTATCCAAAACATAATTTCCAAAATATTCACGCAAAAATGTTACATTATTAATCTCTAAGATAATGAAACAATGAAATTTCAGAAAAACCAGGTTGTATGCCCCCTGACCGCTTTGCGGTCCGACCTCCGAAGCGCTGTGCGCCTTAGGCGTTACGCGTTATTCTTATGGTTTTATGTATTGGAGTATGATTAACCAACAAAAAGTAACGATTTTAGCCATTACCTATCATTAAAATCGATTACCGAATGGATCACATCCTAAGTAGCATTTTTCAATGGAAAGTTGCAAAATGTTGAAACAATGTTCGTTTTGGATGTAACAAAGTTGCAACTTTCGGTCAACTTTGGGTCGATAAGTGCCGATTTTCGGCGATCTCATTGGAAGACAAAGTTGCAACCTGCTGAGATTGCAAAATTGCTGCACCAAAGTTGTTTAAAATCTAAAGATAGGCAACCAGCAATACTTTGAAGTTGAAACACGTTTCAACTTAATTGCAACAAGTTCCGACATAAAAGCTCCTTTGGGGGAAGAGTAGGCAATCTGCACATCAATCTAGTAGTTGCAAGAATCAAACGATTTTGTTGCAAGTTGTTGCAACCCTTGCTACTTGGGATGCACAGAAAACAATAGATCTATGTAAAAACTGATTTTTGAAAGACGTTGTTATCAGAACTGCCTTAGATGATAGATTCTTCTTGCATAATAATATCTATTGGCCTCCCAGCTGGAAGCTTTTTATTTCCCTTTTCTTTTTTAACACTTAAGAACTACAGAGTAATATTCATTCAACCACAATTATCAATTCCGCAATCATGCATTTATAATTTATCCTTATTTCCCTATGTTTTTCAGTTGTGCTAGCATGGGGCGTTAAGGAATCAACAATGCTCAATAATATTTTTACTGCTTTGAACCTAACCACGGTTGGCATCATAATTATTGCTGGGATAACAGTCGGTCAGTATCCAATCATGTTCATTTTATGTGCGTATGTATTGAAATATTGCTCCCGAGGACGCGTTATAGAAGATAGGGCACATGCGCCGAAATTCCTCAATTTTTATTTCCTTAAAAGCAGCTTTAGTAATCGATTTAATTAGTTATATAATTTTATAAACTTGTCTGAATAACAGGACTATCATGACCTATCATGAAAGTTTAATAGTGGACTTTAATAAAAAGCTTTAAACATTAAAATAATTTGTTGCCGTGTGAAATTACAAATGAGAAACTGGAATTGATATTATTCTTCAGCTTAACATCTTACCGTTAAGTATAATTGTATCCAAACAATATCGACGGTGAAAGTCGGCAATCACATAACTCGGTTTGCGACGTCGCAGACTTCCTGTCATACTTTATTTTTTAAACGGAAAACTACTCAACGGTAATTCTTTAAAACTGCCGTGATTTTTCTTCTATGTGCGAGGAAAAGTCTGTAAAAACTTCAAGGAATCATGTCCATTTGTTCTCCTTTAAAAAAATAACATAGTTGCGGAGATTTTCAGACACCGCAAACGAGTTATGTGATTGCCGACTTGCACCGTCGATATATGATTCATAAGACTATAGCATCCCCCTCAAGTCTTTTGAGTAAATGTTACCAGAGGGACTTGGAGGACAAGGCGCATAAGTGCAGTTTTATTTTTATTTTATTTTTTTTTTTTTAAATCAAGAAATACATGTTTAACGTTCCAAAATTACATGGAGCCTTACGGCGGATAGGAAGTTTAAACTCACGTTTTGATACTTTAAAATTGAATTTTAGTTGTGAATTTTTCACAGAATATACTTTAAAACTGGTTTTAGTTGAGTTCATAAATATCTCAATTTTTTCAAAAACTGCACTTATGCGCCTTGTCCTCCAAGCCTCTCAATAAACGTTAAAAATTTGATCAGACCTTCTTGGACTTTTCCTCCAGTAAATGCGGCGAAAATATTTTCGTCCCTCCAATTGAAACAACGTCATGTTGGCACTCGAATCTCTCTGAAAAGATAAGGAAAGTCTGTTCGCCTTCATTTGTTTGCATAGGCAACACTAACAGTCTTCAAGGAGGAATAGTTGCATGATCAAAGTAATAAAACAAGCGCAGTGTTCTCCACCTTTCTCCAAATGCTCTTATACATGGTTTTATAGTAGCACCGTTGCTCCCCAAATAGCATTTTTCGACGAAAAAATCCCGATATTTTGAAATTAAAACGCAATTTTCTTACGATTTTTTAGGGATGACATCGCTGGGAACATCAGCTTCTGAGCGATTATCCTCAATCTTGTCGCGATTTTATTTCTTTGAATCGCGTTCGAAAAAATTGGAATTGTATCTCAATTTATCACGTTTTTTGTTCGATAATATTGCGATGTATCGTCATCGATGATCTCGCGATTTTATTGCAAATTTATTTGATGAAATCGCAAATTAACGCAATTTTTTATCCGATAATATTGCAATAGATCAACGTCGATAAAATCGCGATACATTCTCCGATCAAATCGCAACTTATCGCGATCACTGCTACTTGGGATACACGGTTTTGTAGTAGGTAGCACCATCGCTTCATTCATTTTCTGCTTTTTTTTCAACCATAGCCAAGCCTTCCAACTGGTTCATCGCGAAAGAAGATTTACCCGTGGACCCAAACTCAAAATACAACCCAGGAGAAGGAGGTTTCATGCCGTTTGGCTGGACTGGTGTCTTAGTTGGAGCAGCTACTTGTTTCTACTCTTTCATTGGGTTCGACTGCATAGCAACAACAGGTAATCTGCCGTGATGCGAAAAAAACACCGCATGAACTTTCAGACGTCACCAAATTTCTCCAAATATTATACTTAATTTAGAAAAAAGTTATAATATAGTCTATAGTTTATAGTCTGCCCTATAATTGCTGGATTCTTTAGATTACATTGCGAATAACATTTAGGGGAAAATAACCACGAGTTTTCAAGAAAAATCCTATTTTATAAAAAAAAAATTTGGCAACACTAGAATATTTGTGCGACGTTATTTTTCTCCTTTAGATCTTTGTAATCTGCCGAGCTGTAATGCGGGCGCTCTTTTCCATTCTCTCTCGAAAAATTGGAGAGATAAATTCAACTATGTAGCCTGTGGGAGATCCAGACACTTAAAGCTCTGTAAGATGCCGTGAAAGCTGTAGATCTTTAAGTAAATAATAGATAACGAATGATGGAAACGAATTGGCGATGCATTTTAATGACTTTTTCTCTCAAAATCGCACCGTTTAATTATCGGCGTAGATCAAAGAAAACGTATACTTGTGACGTTTTGAGGGTGGTATGTCGTGAAAGGCAGACATTGTCCCCACCATGGATTCCTTCAACGCCTGCGTTTTTTGACAGTGAAAGGTCGATATGTGTGAAGAAATTTATGGAAATAAGTTACAGATGATGAACGGCAGTTCAATACTAGTTAGCTGGTCAGTAAATGAAATAAAACTCGAAAATATTGTGAAAAATTAACAACCGTCAAATGAGGGGCTTGGAGGACAAGGCGCTCAAGTGCAGTTTTTAAAAAAAATTGAGATATTAATTATCTCAAGTAAAACTAGTCTTAATGCATATTCTGTGAAGAATTTGCTCCCACATTCCAATTTTAAGCATCAAAAAGTCAATTCGAACTTTCTTTCCGCTATGAGGATCCATGTAATTTCGAAACCTTAAACACGTATTTCTCGAAGTAGCAAAAACTGCACTCATGCACCTTATCCCCCAAGTCTCTCAAATGTACATTGAAAAAAGGATTCGATGACTAAGGACCAATTAATTTCATTCAATACTAGGGGGCTACTTCCCCTGACCACTTAGCGGTCCAACCTCTCGACAAAGCTTCGCGCTTCATACATCATGCGTTACTCCTATGGTTTTATATACTACAGAGTAATGTGATACCTGATGTTATCAAAAATACGCTGGAGTCAACAGAAATTCAGGGTCGGGACCAGTTTCGGCCTCTGACGACATTCCTCCTTTTCACACTTAATTTATGTTTAAAACTACTTCAAACATAATATTCTACTTAATTATTAATGCACATTAAAAGTTACCGGCATTGCATATTTTTAATTACTTATTGATTTATTTGTCTGCACGGCAAAAAGTATCACAATCCTAACCATACTTCCAGCTGCTTAACCATACCCTTGGCTTTGTGCAACTACTCCAATATCTGGTGCCAGAATCAGCTCGATATCATACTTTTAGCTGGTGTCCTCACAATCACATAAAAGTAGTTGGATTAACTATTATACCACTGGCTAGTGCCTATACCCTCATGGCTGGCGCCAAAATCAGCTGGAAGTATAGTTTATAATGTGATACTTTTTTTCAGTGTGTTGTATTCCACTGATGCTGTTGAAATAGTTACGGTTTTGACTAAGCAGGCTAATGCCGCTAATGTACGTTATTTTCCTGACTGGACCGTGGCAGTAAAAACTGAATAAATGTCGCTTACAAGTTGTCTTCTCTCCCTTTTTTAGGGGAAGAGGCGAAAAACCCCCAAAAGACTATTCCTCTGGCCATCGTTTTGTCTCTGTTGATAATTTTCTGCGTGTATTTTGGAATATCTGCAGTTCTCACCATGATGTGGCCTTATTATGACCAGGTAACCTCTTACTACAACCATAAGTTCCCTCCAGCATCTTTGAATATTCCAAATTAAATCACGAATAAAGAAGCATCTGTACACAGTTTATGAGTTCTTATCGCTTGGCGATGTTAGAAGTATTTTGTGGGCAAAAGCCGCCAGAAAGGGTTTGTTTTTAAATTCATGAACGTTGATGAATGAACAAATCGGACCACGTTCAACAAAAAGGAGCCAAGCCACATTAGCTACTGCCAAATTTAACTGGTCAATTTAATTTTTTGCACGAAAGCGGCTGTGCGGATTTTTGTGCAAATTTCAGTGAATTTTGTGCATGATGCGAGGCAAATTCCCTAAAATTTTCAAGGGAATCCGCACAAACGTTCTCTTGTGAAACGTTAAATTTCCCAGTTAAGTTCGGAAATAGCTGATGTGGCTTGGTTCCTTTCTGCTTAACGCGGTCCAATTAACGAGAGCCTAAGTATTTTGTTTATCCACCAATGGTCAACAGCTTCATCAGTCACTCTCACTTTGAGTAGCACCCACGTTAATCCTGTTAAGACGGTTCGAGAAAAATTTGAAGAGTCACTGATGACTTGAAATACAATACCCACAGGCTAATCAGGGATTTGGAAGTATCAATGATGACTTTTCAGTTTGAGCTCACTTTGACTGTGCAACAAAAACTCTTTAAAAACAGAAGAGCTACGAACAAAATGCTAAATGAAGCTCGGCATGACGCACGAGTGACTTTGCAGTGCCTTAATTTGACGTATTTTTGCCAAACGGAACTATAAACGAGTGGGAAAGATGGGATCTGCTCTAGAAAGGTGGATAAAAAACAATGATAAAGTGGGCGTGATTCCTTTGGGAGAAATAGAAAAGCAGGATTTTACATTCTGCGAACCGAACCATACATTCTACCGAACGGACCTAAGCGCCAACTGTATACGGCTCTCACGAGCCAAGGGCACGGGCAAAGAGCGTTGTGGACAGGGCTCATGAGTTAATGCGTCGGATCGTCGTCACCGCTGACGTTACTAGCGCTTTATAATTTCCATTCATTCTTGCCGGTAATCGAGGATTGCGCGAAAGGTCTAAGAAAATATAAAGGCACAAGGTTCGCGCGAAAAAGGCACAAGGATTGCGCGAATAGAAACCATAACGTGTGCTACAGGAATGCGCGAATTTAAAATGAAATTAATTTAAGGTGAAGATTCGGTAAAACAGGAAACAGATGGAAAATAAACGCATTTTTATGTTAAAGTTAGTTTAAGTTATTTTGTTGACAAGTCATCGTGAAAAGATTGAATAATGGCCAAGTGTACAAAGACTTTTCCTAACTTCTCTCGGAAAAAATATTTAACGGGGAGAAACGAGGCAACGTTGGAATGTCATACGACGTCGAAACGCAACATGGACCTTTGCAGCTATTATTCGAGAGCGCGATTATTCTAGCGTGAGTTCGAATAATCGCGCGAAACACAGTGCGGCTAGCGTTGAATGTATATTAGCGCCTGCAAGACTTGAGGAATACTTCGCGCATTGCACCAAACACGTACTACCCTCGACTAACGAGCACATCCCTTCTTTCCCGCCTGTCACAGGTTCTGTTTGGCAGTAATACGTCCAATTTTAGGAGGTCCTGCATGCAGCAATAGTTTACCTATTCAAAGAAATGCTGGAACTGCTATGCTCGCAAAATTAAATCAAGAAGTAGATTCAGTAGTTCAGATGTCTTTTAAGTTTGATAGGCAGCACGCAACAGTTGCATTCCGCTCATATTGATGGAGACCTGGGAGAAAAGCTTTAAAATTTGAGTTCGTTGGCATTGTAGTTGATATTTAACCTTTATGGATCCTATCGAGTAATTTGTGTGTTTGTTCCCTTTTTTTCTCCTTTTTTCATGAAGGATCCAGCGGCTCCATTCCCTTCAGTGTTCGAGAAAGTTGGGATGCCTCAGGTTAAATGGATAGTCTCCGTGGGGGCCGTTTTTGCTCTGTGCACCAGGTAATTTAAGTTGCGATAGTTTCTCGCCTTTCTAATTAAGTAATTACACGATTGTTTTTACTTTAATTCTTAAAAGCACGCATGTCGCAAGTAGTTTACCTGATTCGGTGTGAGTGAACTCTCCTCGTCGTCCGCTGGTATAATTTGTTGAACACTGGGAAAAAAAAACACATTGGATCTAAAGTCCAGACTCTTAAAAACATCGACAAGAAAAAATACTATTGATTCAATTAGATTTAAGCTTAAATCAAGAACCGAGCCTCTTAATTTGAGCGGATTTCCTTTTGATTTAAGCTTAAATCTGATTGAATCAAGAGTCGATTTTCTTGTCAATGTTTTCAAGAGTCTGGACTCTAGATCCAATGTCTTTTTTTTCTAGTGAAGTGAATCTATTTCGCTAAATTTATTAAATATATTGATTGAATATATCTACTACCACTAACAAGTCGCTCTTATAGCGCTTCTGTGCGCTCTGCGACACCCAACCGCCACTGATAGCGCATATATCTTGAATATATCTAAAATTGTATAAAATTGCCACAAAAAAGGCTGGTATAAACACAGAACTCTCTTAAATAACGCTCATTCATTTTTGTGAACGTCTTTTCAGTTTGCTGGGGTCAATGTTCCCGATGGCGCGGATTTTATACGCGATGGCTGAGGATGGTCTCATCTACACATTTTTGGCGCAAATCAACAAAAAAACACTTACGCCATTGTTCGCCACATTCGTGTCAGGAGTTTTGGCAGGTAATTCTTCTGAGTCTGATTATCTTTTTATGATGATAATTGTATTTCCATTTTCAAATTTCCGGACTTTTCAAGCAAAATCGTAATGAGAATTATTTTCACGAGACACATATAGGCACGGCTAAACAATTGATTTGATCGAGCACTGCTTGTAGAGCGCATGAGTGCAATCGAAGTCATTCAAAATGCTTGACAATTAACAAAAAAATTTCAAGGTTTTATTGGCGATTTCACGGCATGAAAATCGTATTTTTGATGGGGTCTTGTTACGAATTTACGTCCTTCCAATTGGACGTATTTCTACCAAACAGAACTATGTGCATTTCGACATGAGCCCTGAGACCCATAAGAATATATGCATAACAGGGCTCAAGTCATAATGCACATAGTTCCGTTTGGTAGAAATACGTCCAATTGTTCCTCATGCATATAGTCAATCAACTTTAAATTGTACAATTACTTGTTTCCAGGAATAATATCGGCTATTTTTAACCTAACGCAGCTAATCGACATGATGTCCATCGGCACCCTCCTCGCTTACTCCATCGTTTCATTGTGCATTTTGCTTTTAAGGTGAGTGAAGCACCTACGGAAGTCCTTAAAATTCGTCTTCTCTCACAGTTAAGATATTAATCTCCTTTATTTGGACATTCAAGAGCTTATAAGATAATTTAAATTTTCACTTTTCTTCCACCTTGGATGGAATACCACAAAGATGTACCTTTTTTGTGTACCATCCCTGGTAAAAATTGGCGATAGGAGCTGCGTTTCAAAATACCATAGGAGTTCTTATAGACGACCGAAGAAGGCGATAGAAAATCATATCGCTGGCTGTAGAAAGTGGAAAAAAAATCATACAGCCTGGCTACACGAAGCGATAAAAAATTATACAGCCGGGCTATAGTTCCTATCGCCGGGCATTACACTTTATCGCCTGGCTGTTGCTTTGTTGCCATCGGCTATAAAAGGCTATAAGATATTGTGTTGAAATTCTTGTGCTTTGTAAATCCTTAAGTTTGTACGGAATCACCTGAATATTTACAAAAAGTACAAAAGTGCGGCGGCGCACTGGCGCCTACAAACCTAACAGGGATACTTCACGCATTGCGCAATGCGTGAAGTATCCCTGTTAGGTTTGTAAGCGCCAATGCGCGTTCAGCGCTGGCTGCCCGCCCGCCGCGCCGCGCCGCAGTGTACCGCGGCGCTTGAAGCAACTATTTCACACCAGAGGTATTGCACAGTATCATACGAGATTGAAGGCGCTCTAATATATTAGGAATGGCAGGCGTCTTTCAAAAGTACGGAGCTTTCCTCGCAAAATAAATCAAGATACTACGGCCCAAAAAGAGAGCGGTAGTCCAAAAACTCACCAAGTCCTAGCATCTGTAATTAGTAACGATTAGCATACACTTTATCGCCAGGCTGTTGCTTATTCGCCATCGGCTATAAAAGGCTATAAGAAATTGTGTTGTCGGCTGTAGAAGCTATTGGAAATCTCACAGCCGGCTGTAGGTCTATGGTATTTTGGAACACAGATTCTACTGCCAATTTTTACCGGGGATACATTGTACCATATTATCTACCATGCAATAATGTACCATACCATGACGTGTACCATAGCTTTGGTTAGAAGCTCATTTTGTACAAATTATAAAATAAAATATATTTTTTTCATGCTACAAAGAAGTAAAATTTTCAGGGAAACCTGAAGAAAAAGTGCAACATTTTTTGAGCAGACGAATACATGTTTAGATAAGGTCAAAACAACGAAAATTTCCAAAAGAAAATTTGCACCCGTTTTTTGGTATAGATAAATAAATTATCAGATGTAATTGTCACATTGCACTTAAAGCTCTTTGGGCTCTCGCCCCTGCGAATCAGTGGCAAGGCGTGAATGCTCGACTATCGATACTCCTTCATTTGAAGCTGTGGTAAAGAATCGATTATTAAGGCGTTCATTGCGAACACCTTGTTTATCGATCCTTTTCCATGGTTCAAATGGTAGATCAATCGATACATCGCAAAGCCCGCCACGCCACTGCATGGGAATCACACCGATTTCCTGAGAAACTCATGCTTATTACCCGTTTTTTCTTCTAGGTACCGAAAATACGAGATCAGCGAGGAAACGAAACCAGGCCGTAATGAGCCTGCAGTCAATCATGAAGAACCAAAGAAAGAATATCCAGGCTTCATTTCCGGATTGTTGAACCTTGAAAATGAACGGCGGGCCACGGATTTCTCGGAGGCGATCTCGAAGATTTTAATTGGCACTTTTTGTGAGTTATAGTTAGATAAGTAGAAGGGTACGAGATGAAAAGGAAAACTGGACGTATTTCTGCTAAACGGGACTATAGACGAGTGGAAAAAATGGGATGTGCTCTAGAAAGCACTGGGGGAAAAAAACACATTGGATCTAGAGTCCAGACTCTTAAAAACATCGACAAGAAAAAATACTCTTGATTCAATCGGATTTTTGCATAAATCAAGAACAAAGCCTCTTAATTTGAGTAGATTTCCTTTTGATTTAAGCAAAAATCTGTTTGAATCAAGAGTATTTTTTCTTGTCAATGTTTTCAAGAGTATGGACTCTAGATCCAATGTGTTTTTTTTTTCCAGTATGAGCTGCGTAGGTAAGAAACAACGTAAAAGTGGGATTTTACATTCTAGGCTATCAAACGGAACTAAGCGCCAACTGTACGCGTCGGCTCTGTCGTCACCGCTGACGTCACTGGCGCTTTATAATTCCCACTCATTCTTACCGATGATTTAGGATTGCGCGAAAGTTTTTAAGAAAATATGTGAAGATTGCGTAAAAAAGGCACAAGGATTGCGCAGAGAGAAACCTTAAAATCTGCTACCTACAGAAATTCGCGAATTTAAAATGAAGTCAAATAAAGGTAGAAATTTGGCAAAATAGGAAACAGTTGAAAAATAAATGCATTTTTATGTTAACGTTAGTTAAGGTTAGTTTGTTAACAAGTCATTGATGTCTGGTGATAAATGAAGTGAAAAGATCAAATAATGGTAGGAGGTATAAAGAATTTTCCTAAATTCTCTCGGAAAAAATATTTAAATGGGAGAAACGAGGCAACGTTGGAATGCTCATCGGCATCGGAACGCAACATGGGTCTTTTAAGCTCTATTAGGTATTCGATGCCACGATTATCCTAACGCGAGTTCGAATAATCGCGCTGAACACAGTGCGGCCAGCATATTAGCGCCTGCAAGACTATAGGGATACTTCGCGCATTGCGCCTATGGCCCATATTAGCACCTACATGACTGCATGAATAATTCTCGCATTGCGCCAAACGCAGTGCAGTCGCCCAGTCGGCTAGTTGGCGTGAAACGCAATTTTGCATTTTTGCACCTGCAAGGTGTTGGGATGGTAGTTAATTGCCGTCAAAATTGAATTATTTTGTTTTTCTTTCTTCCAGGTATTTTATGTTTCATGCATGTAGGAGGTCTAATTTTGATGGAACGAAGAATGCGATTCGAAATCAACTTTTGGTTCAAAGCATACCTCATTGGTGTAGGAATTTTACTTGTGATCAGCGTGATTCTCCTATGGCGACAGCCTCAGGCAAACACAGAAAAACTAACTTTTACAGTAAGTAATGTTAAGTATTCGAGTCTCAGCTTATGGTTTACAATTTTTATGTGTCATAAGCAAAGAATGGTTTTGCCTCCTGAAAATCATGAACTCGTCTCAAAATTTCCTGGAGGCTCCTATGCTCAACAAAGTCGTATTAGCCAATCAATTCAGTACGTGTGCTACTTTTTATCATCATGTACTTTTGTAAAAGATTAGCTCAAGTTTCTTTGCTTTTTGAGAGATTTTATCTAAATGCTGTAAGATGTCATCATTTCTTAAGTAGTTCAATATTTTTTTTATTTTTATTTTTTTCCATCTATATATACATTCTCTGACGAAGATGAAAAAACGCTAAATATGTGCCCTGAAAACTGAGCGCAACAAGATGTAAAATAGTGCTGGGTCCACACTATTTGGCGAGGAAATCAAAGCCAGAGAGACCAAAAATTAGAATTAGAGTTACAAAATGAACTCTAATCACATGAATAATAGCTACTGGAAATTACATCTTACTCTTTGTTCATAATTTGATTACATTTTCCATGATATTTAGTATAATTTCCTATATTTTTATTTTTCCAGGCTCCATTGATGCCAATTGTACCTACTTTAAGTATTTACGTGAACACATACCTAATGTCAAAGCTGGATAAAGCAACATGGATCAGATTTGTTGTCTGGCTTTTATTAGGTACGTAAATAAACTGCAAAATCTTAAAATTTTAATCTTAAGTAGTGATCTCCATTGACAGAATAGCGAGTTTTCTGGGGTTTTAAAATTCCTGCGTTTCAAAACTTCCAATAATTTTGATAAATTTCTCAAATTCAATATTTTTACAGCATATTTCTCATAAAAATTCCTTCAAAGAAAAGTTTTAGGGGCTACATTTCAAAAATTGTCAAGATTCCCTGGCTTTTCCAGGTTTTTTCTGACTTCTCGAGAACTTTATGTACATCAGTCGATGAGTTTTCTTCCCTTGCACCCAATTTTTTTCATTTCAGAATAATTTCAGTAATATAATTTTAGGTTGAATTCAACTTAATCAACCAAAATACACACAACTTAATTTGGGGAAAAGGCTGCAAATAAAGAACAAAGAATAAACAAAACCCGGAACGTTTCAAAATAGTTACAATTTCATTTTCAACCGGAAAATAAATTAAAAACAAAAACGAGCTGTCGCTACGCTGTTATTGCAAGACCGAGACTGATTACCAGGTAAACAAACTCGGCACAGTCTGTGCCGAGTTTGAAAATGAAATTGTAACTATTTTGAAACGTTCTGGGTTTTGTTTATTCTTTGTTCTTTATTTGCAGCCTTTTCCCCAAATTAAGTTGTTCTTTTATTTAGGATGAAGGGTGACTCATGCAATAAAGCTTGATGTATAGCCTCTTATATTTTTCATATTTATTTTTTTCTTTTAAAAAAAAGGAGAACCGTTTTAGTAGCTTCACTTGGAAACGACGTATCTTGGAACTAGTGTTGAGAAATTTCCACTTTCATTTGATTTTTACGGGGGACAACAAATCAGCTTTATTTTTTGAAATTTTTAAAGAATGTTGTTTCAACAAAACAAAAAAAACGATACAGAGGTTTCCAAATATTAAGTTGATTGATTTTTAATTGCAAATTAATATAACAGGAAGTCTGAAACAGAACTAATTGAGGCACGAAGTTTTGAAGTTTAGCCATTGGCGTGCTTCATTTTTTCTATAAAAATGTGAGATGAATATAGTTTTTAGTAGTTTCATAGGAAATTAATCTTTTTTATGTCAAAAGATTGCTTAAAAGTTGATACAAATTCAATTAATACTTATTTTGTGGGCATTTTAAAGTTGTTTCTACTCTTCTGGTACAAGCTAAATCCTTCTTTAATTTGAGCATTAGAGGATTTCCTTTTCTTTATTTTAGGGGAGAAAGGATTTTTACTTATTTTTGCCGTCAATTATATTTTGCAGGTCTCTTAGTCTATATGTGTTATGGGCTCAGGCACAGCAAGGAAGGAAAGAATAGATTTATTGCAGCTGAAAAGAAGGAAAAGATCTCAAAAAGTTAGTCCGTGGTTACCTCCAAAATGAAAATACAACCCTACTATTTTAAACATAGCTCGAGATGAGTTTGCCAAGTGTCAAACTTATTCTGTCAAAATATTCAAAAGCGTGTTCAATCCATGTGATCAGTATTTGCCATTGTATATAGAATACATATATTTTTGTTTTATAAATTACCTAGGTATCTGATAAGAGTTGTAAAATTACTACTTATTTTGAGTTTTTATTTGATGTCAAACTGTGCATAGTTTTATAACTTTGAAGTACTTATCGAAATACATCTTACAAATTTTAAATATTTCCAGTCATTTAAGAGCAGAGCTGTTTCTTTTATCACCTTTCATTTTGTGCTAAGTGTCCTCTTTGATAGAGATATATGCAAAGGAGAGAGGTCCAGCAAAAAAACTGTACACTTTGTTGACACCTTTTACGTAATTCAGTTCATCCTCTGACTCCTACCCCATCTCTAAGCCGCAATAATTTTGTCACTTTCATCTATTCAAACATTTTAAAATTTCAGTTTCTTCATGTAACATGGGACACGTTTTTTAGAGCATCAAAAATGAGACAATCCAAACGGACTCTCTTTGATAATCAAGGTCCTATTTTAAAGTATGCTGAATAAGATGACAGAATAAATAAAAAAGTCACAGAGCTACTAAAATACATTGAAAAGGAGGTGCGAGAGGTATACAAAAATACACAGAATTTCTGCTCGTCTGTTCAATCAACTAATCCATCTAGTTTGGAGTGATCTCAAACCTAGTCCCTCAAAAAAATGATGCGAATTGAAAATCTGTGGCTGAAAAGAGGCAATGCAAAAGATTTATTCGTGGGTGTGTTTGATATGATGCAATGTTTGATTTGAATGTCTCTCACACACTCTTTGAAATAAAAAACAAAAACCATTATCGAATCACCGGGAAACTTTATTCCAGCAAAAAATAAGTTGTACTGCTTTTAAACATTATATTATTAAGGTTGAAAAACATGTGCTACAAAAAATGTCTTCCTTAAAAAATCGAGTACGGGACAATTTCTTTCATGACTTCAACTGTGCACCGATATTGAACATACTAATGTTAAATATATTTGAAGTTCAAATTTGTTCACCATTACAGTTGTAACTGTTTCTTGATAGTGCGGGGTGTTCCAATTCCATTTTACTGCTACTAATTATCAGTGGCCAGTATTTACGTAATTGAGAATATTTTTGTACAAAGTCACAGTGCTGATTTTTCTAAAACAAGCTCCCATTTTTTACTTTATAAAACCAAGGATACATTCCAAACGGGTCCAAAAGATTCAAATCAATGAAGGTAAGGACATCGATTTGAACATCTCATCTTTCCTTCAAACTTTTTGGTGGAAGAAATTTGTTAAAGGACCAACTATTTATGACAAAAGTTATAATTCATTCTGAATGTATGTGCAAACTATTTTTGTAAATTTATATAAAAGTAAAAAAGATAAAAAACTTTAATAAAATGTTTCCAGCATATTGTGCAATTCCATGATATAGGAATATTCACCTTGTAAGATGAGAGGAATCACTTTGTTGAGCTTGAGTTTAGATTAAACTAATCAAGTTACTAATCAAGTTAATTGATCACAAAGCAGTCATAAAATCCTATTTCAAAACTTTTTTAAATCAATGTTGAAATCTCTTTGAGTTTTATTGATGAAATTTGTTTTTAGCACTCACATCAAGGTATTAGAAAATATTTTTCAACTCACACATTAAGGATTCTGACACTGGGAGCTTGCTCCAGGAAATATTTGAAACTGTGGCCTACAAATCACTGAGATCAACAATATCGTCATCAGTGGAAGTGACATTGGAGGGTTCTTTTTCTGGAGTTTCTTCTTTCTGAGGAGCTGCTTTCTTTTTCGACCCATGATAATATAAATCCGGCCAACCGCCTATCTGAGCTTTGACTAAAGTGACTTCTATTTTGGACGGTAAAAATTTGGCTGTGCTTTTCGGCACGCTGATGACCTGGAATCAAAGAGGAATAAAACTTGTTATGCTACAAAATCATAACTAGCAAGGGTTGCAAGTATAATCAAATTTCCAATTGCCCTGATTATTCCCTGACTTCCAACAAGAAAAAAGAAATAGATTACTTTAAAAACAGCAACGCAAACTTTGAAGCAACTCAATAGGATGTATGAGGTTGAAACTTGCAAATAACCTGAATGCAACAATTTACATGCTGCCTGGAAACATTATAAATGATTCCATGCCAATGCCTAAAAATTAGATGAAAAGGTGAAAAAACCAATCAAGAATAGATCGGTGTTAATATTTAGATCCCTTCAAATTGAACTAACACACGAATTTCGGAATCAGTGCTCATAGCACTTGCTGTACAGCGAAAAATTTCCTGAAAAATTGGCAATGCTGGCATGCAGTAGCGGCGTGGACAGGATGTTTTAGCTATTGAGCCGCAGCCCTGAGAATTTCCCTGACTTGGAGAAAAGTGCCCTGACTTTTTCTTGACTTCCAAGTTATTGTCACATTCCCTGACTCTTTCAACTCTGGTATTTAAAAGACTGCTACATTGTGAAATTCAGAGCAACGCTGTATAACCTGATCTGACTTATTGAACATTTTAAAGAGGTTATATAAGAGGTCAAATGTATAACAGGTAGGTACTACTATCCAATTAATGTGAATTTAGATTCCACCAATATTGGACGAGTTTCCCTTATTTTATGTATCCAATTTGACATCATTCTTGCGATCGATTTTGTTTACTTTGATTTTTTCGATCTTTACAGTAATATGACCTTTTTCACTTCCCTTCAAAAAGTTATGTTGATGTTCATCAACTAACTTTTATCTACCTATGACTGTGATAATGTCACTCTGGAGAAATATTTCTCTATGTTCGTTTCATTTTCATTTTTCATTCTACTTTTGAGCATCATTGCCAAATATTCTAAAAACGATGCAACTTACCCCTCCCAGCTCAATTTCTTTTTTGTAAGTGAAATCATCCGCAGGAAAAAATACATCTAAATCCATTCTGACTGGTGTTAAGTATACGCAAGTAACATTTGGATCATAGTTCTTTGCATAAATGGCAACTGTCACTGTTGATGGTGTTTGGTGCCAATCGATTCTTAAATCTTTGTTCTTTGCAGAGCTCTGAGGGTGAAAAACAGAAGACACTAAGATAATTGATAAATAAAATGAGAGACTTCTAATTTCGTGGAAAACAAAAACTTTTGACACATATACTAAGCGACATAAAATATAAATATAACAGGTTGAGGTCAAAGTACGTTCAATACAAAATAACTACTTAGGTAGCTAGAGAAATGATAAAAATTAAAAACTTGGAATATGCAGGTAAAGTAAAAAAAAAAAAAAAAAAAAAAAAAAAAAAAAAAAAAAAAAACTTAAGCAAAACAAGGATTTTCTGGAATTCTTTTATTTCACAAAACATCAACAAAATTAACATGATGAGAATCATGTTTACTGTATCTCTTCATTTTTACAAATATTTACGCAAAGGAGTACCTTAATGCTTATCAAAACTGCTTTGTGTTTTTAAAAATGTAAACCGATAATTGAATCGGGACGTGCGAAAACCGCTAATGTCCATTTTTCCAGTCCTAAGTTTTTTTGAGTTCATAATGCTTTAAAAGAGTTGATACAGCCATAAAAGTGATGAAAGGACTCGTTTTGGGATTAAGGAAACCCCAGGACGAGTCTGAACGCCACTTTCATGGTTGGAACCAACTCCGAAACGTATTATGAACTCCAAAAAACTTGAGGAGGGAAAAATGGACATTAGCGATTTTTGCACATACCGATTCAATTATACGAATGTAATGTCTCATCATAAAATCAAATCCCTGTGAAGATCAAGAGACGCGCTCAAGTTGAAATGATGATTAAAATACATTATAAAAAATGTAACTAAAAGAGATTATTGCAATTTCGTTACATTTTTTCTCAGCTACATTAAGTAATTGACAAAGAGGCTAGAATAAATGAAAAATTTACCTCACTCTTCAGCCAAAGATGTTCTCCTTCAGTGCAGCCTTTTTGACTGAGAAAAACATCAAAATCCGTAGTTTTCCGTTTACAACAGGACCAGTACTTTAATCCTTCATGAAAAACTGGAGTGCCTGGATGGTGTTCACAAACTGACTGGTCATCTTCATTTCCTTGGTAAAACTGTAAAAAAAAAGGGGAAAAATCTTTCAGTTGTTCCTCTACACTGATTAGGTGACCTATATTTATTTATTTAGGCATTTCAATGGCAGCATTGCCTTTTTAGTTGAAATCAGTTCAGACCACTGAAACTATGAAACACTTTTGGCATGCATTACTTACATTTTGCTATCATATAATAAGTTGAAAATGAAGAGAAAGGTCATTTCAGACGGAGAAGAAAAAGAGGAAAAAAACAGGAAAAATAGGAGAAAATTGGAGACAAATTGTACAGGAGTATTAAATGAAATTACTGAATCAAAAGCATACCTGTTTGCAACCACCGTTTTTGCAAGCTGTGCCAATGGGAACAACACCTGACTTTTCAGTTTCTACCTTATCTTTCTGATTCAGCTTCAAATTTTTCATTAGTTCTTGTAATGATGGTGCGATTTCAGCCTCAATTTTTACCTGAAAAAGGACAGAGCCATACAATTAAACTAATAATTATCAATATGCTTTTCACCTCATTTCTGGTACTTTCATTTGAAGAATCGCCGACCCTTTACATAAGCTCTCTTAACTTATGTTACAGAGACTCTGCGCCCTTCTTTATACTTGCTGCAACTTTCTCGAATACAGGGCAATTCAAGAGTCTTGCACCATTACTGTGAACATTAGGATTTTTACCATTTGTCAGAAAGATTCATCTAATAGTTGGAGGATCACAAAAATCTTAATTTTTTTTTTTTTTACCTAGGAGCACTTACAAAATTTCAGGTCTCCATCTCAATCCGTTCAAAAGTTAGAGAGGTGGTATCTGATGCCAGTGGTATGGGACTTTTGGATCTCTTTGTATAATGACTTTGAAAAATTGAGCAAAAATAGCAAGTTATATTTATAAAAATGAACTTCAAGTGAAGTTCACTTTTTTGAAACTTGAATTTGTTTTGAAACAAAAATTAAGATCACAAATCTTCAATCACACTTTAAGAGTCCCACAATGATCTAGACATAAACTGTATTGCAGTGTAACATTGATTTAAATTAAAATCATGGGACAAAAAATGATTGATATGAGTTCCATTCTCATTCTGAAACAAAACGAGGTGTTCTGCTGGCTTAACTCATGATTCAAAAGAGGAGGAGGATGTCAAACATGCATTTGAATTCAGATGGACAGTAAAAGTAATTAGTGAATCATTTGCACATGAGTGAGAACACAATTACCCTTGGCACATTGTCAGCAGGTCTTTCTAGAGGTTTAGCCACTGGAGGCCGAGGTTTCACCTCGAGCATTTCATCATCTGTTGATTTGTCAACTTTTCTACGTTCTGGTTCTGCAGGTTTCTCTGGATTATGCTTGCCTCTAGTGCAGCCCTGAGGATATAAATGTAACTGAGTGTCAGTTTGAGGGAAGAAACTTATTAAATAAAACTGATCATATTAGCCACTCACAGTAAGATCATACTTTCAGCAAAACTGGAAATTTTTAGCAGCAACAGACTGCCAAAAAAATAGTACCCATTCACAATGCCAGAGATCAACTACAGTTCATTTCGGAGTAATCAAACCGACAAATGTACGGGGAAATAGAACCAAAGAATAGAAGGCTGGTCATATGTATTGTGATATAAATACGTATGTCCTAAATCTAAATTGTTTTGAGTCAGCCTTGACTCTGTCTTTTGAGTACCATTTTTAAAACTGGTTTCATGATGTTGTATTACATATATTGATATAATAGCTGATACAAAAATAACCTCTTGACATAGTGCGCCAATTTTATTTTATTAAGTCAAGAAAATATACAGAGAATTTCTTGTAAAACCGTACGTAAATGTTCTTTTAAGAACAATGAAACATAAACAAAGATTGGGAATGTCACAATGAATTGGAGATACATATGCATTTTTCGTCGGATATGATTTCGACCATTGATATTCTTAAGGGGTGGACTAGAGGATACCTCAGCTTTTTTTCTGATGCAGAATTAATTTCTAGCTCAATTCATCAGACTCAATTTAATTCCTTATCTTCTTATACTGATGGTACCCTCATTAAAATTTGGTGTTAATGCTGAAACGACTGTAACCTAAGTACCACTTTTGTTTTTTTGGGCCCAGCATCCTTTTATACAGATAAGAAAAAAAGGGTTTCTCCACAACATTAGGTATACTGAAAATTGTTTAAACTTTTCTTGGCAATCACCTCTATTTTATCTTAGGTTAGTGGAGGAAAATAGTCTTTCGTTGTTTTCTAAAAGTAATAGTATTTGGAGTCCAGCCATTTGAAAGTAGCTTGATTCAATCGTGTATTCCAGATACAGTTACAGTGCATCTATGTGGGCTGAGCGTTGATTACCTACTGGTTGAATTTCAACTAAATTTTTCGAATCAGAAGTGCTTGGAAAAGAAAGGAAAAAGGGAAGGAAACAGGAAAGATCAACAATATAACCTTCGTATTCAAAAATTCCGTGAAATCAGTGCTTTTCTTCTTGCAACAAGACCAACTTTTATAGGCATCATGAAAAATAGGAGCACCTGGATGATATTGGCAGGAGTCTGAAACAAAAAATCTTGGCTTCACCAAATGCAGAATTCAAAAATGAGGAGACATTTTCTCAAGAAGTTTCTAATTCGCTACATAAATATAATATCAGTGGTACTCCCTTACAATATCCCTCATTTGATCCTAACAGACAGAATGGGACGGTATTACAAGGCAATTGAATATTATGTGACACATACTTGTCTTCTGTGTTGCACAATGATCATATCTGATCAGAAATATTGTTGAGACAAATAATTCATTCTTACCCATCAAAATTGGATTAACTAATTATTTAAATTTTCGGTGGAATATGTGGGTAACAAGATGTAAATCGACGGAGTAAGACAGCAATCACATGTCTCGTTTGCGGTGTCTGAAAATCTCCGCCTCTGTTATTTTTTTACAGGAGAACAAATTGACATCATTCCTTGCAGTATCTGCAGAATTTTCTTGGCACAGAGAAGAAAAATCACAGCAGTTTCAAAGAATTGCCGTTGAGTAGTTTCCTACTTTAAAAATAAAGTAAGACAGGAAGTCTGCGATGTCGCAAACCGAATTATATGATTGCCAACTTACACCGTCAAAATGCGATAGATGAATGATTCGCATCTGCAGACTAGCAGACCTTAGAAAAGGACCATTCATGATTTTTTTAGAAAATGTCACAACTTATTTTTGATGTAGAATTGATCGATTCCCTATGATAAAACCAAGATATTGTTCATGCAAATTTCTGAGTGTCCTTTTCAGTCTCAGACCACTCCCAAGGATGAAGGATGTTAATCTGAGCTGAAGGCTGTAGGATAGCTCAAGTTCATCTAAGAGCTCTCTTGAATGTGTGGTGGGTCAGAGTTTTGCACAAGGTTTGATAATTCAGAAAAATTTGCGCGTTGCTTGCTCATTACTCAGAGAACACTAACAGCCAAGTTATCGTGAATTAAAGCTGCGTATCCTAGAACTTTGACACCCTAAGGATCCAAAATGACTAACCCTCAGGTACCAAAGGAAATATGAGATGATTCCTCCTCTAAAATGTGCTAATACAAGATCTTTTGACCTATTTCCTATTGTGTAAGTTGTGTGACATTCTAGAACAAATTGGTACGTACCTTCAGTATTTGCATTTGGATCAAATCTGTTACCGCAGCCCTTGTTGTAACATAGAAGACCGTCTACGCTATTGGAAGGCATTGTTCGTTTCCTTTTGATAAGATGCTGTGAAATCTGTGAGCCAGAAAATGAGAGTTGATATGATAAAATAAACTAATACTAGTGCCACTTTTAAGAGAGAAGTTTGACAGGTTACCAGGTAATTCAGAATTTAGGTTAGGAATCATGCAGCGATAACCACTAATCTGTGGCGATAACAAACCTTGGTAACGGATGACGTCAAAAAATACAAATATACGTCATTGAAAAAACCAATGACTTGATAGGCCACTTTTTGCATTCACCTTATCCCTTATCTACTACCTATTCGTTTTCTTACTCACTCCCCTTCAAGTCTGACAGTAGGACAAAATTATTTTAAACTTATTTATTAAGAAGTTCCTGCTATTCTTTATCACCATTTTATTGAAAATTTCGGTAAAATACTCTCTTAAGTTACAGTAGCTACTCGCTGCGAAAGTTCTCTCCGCGATTCCTCGATGATGTTGCCTTCTATCCACCCTCCTCCGAGTTGGTGATCATCATTTGAAATCATCTTTATCATGAAACTTTAGGTAAATGTCACCTTTTTTCGAAAATTATCGTTCAACTATCTCCCTACCTTATTTTCTACCATTCTCTACTTTTATTTCACCTTCTCTTGCAAAGACTACCTTTTCTTTATCACTCCTTGCAGCCGTTATCACTTTCAAGTAACCTGCGACATGGATTTTGGATCCTCTATATTTCAAGAAATAGTTAAAAGATTCATTCAGCTGTGACATCCATGAGTTAGTCAAACTTGCATTAAATAGTAAGATCCAATATTTATAGCACCGCACGCATATCTGCGGTAGACCATGTGACTTCAAATGCTAGCCTCTTATCAGGGGCTTTGAGTCGTTTCCAATGGGAGGAATTCTCACGGGGAACAGATTAATTCTCCACTCTAAATCCACCTGCACTCTCTATGCATGATTCATCTAAGTGTGTAGAGGAAGTATTTCTAAATGCAGAAGAGAACCCTTTGCTTATCATGCCCCACCCTAAATATCGCCACTAGAGCGCCGCGAAGTCAGGAGCATTTTTGACCTAAATTTTTTTTATTAAACCTTTAGCTGAAACTTAATTGGCATTGAACTAATGTTCCAGGACAATCCAGTTCTAATTATGTACTCCAACATATATTTTCAATAGCAATTCTAATGTAGATCACCAGAAAACTCTTGCTTTGCCGAGACATACTTATCCCAAAATAATCCGGTCCTGACTTTTGAAATGTTGCAGAGCATCTGAGCATGTCATTAGATACTAAGCCTCTTTTTAGTTCTGAAAGCTGTAGACCCCCTTTTTTTTCAGCCTTTGTTTGAATTCATGGTCACAATCATTGTAGATCTTGCTGCATTCATATGATAAATTAAAAGTCAATCTCTTTTTAGCTCTGAATCTGCTTTACTGAACAGGTTTATTCATTCATTCAGATGGCATTATTGATGTTATGTTTTAAATGATAGAATATGGTGATTATTGATGGAGGCAAGGCTTGACTTTTTTCTTTACATTCAATGAGCAAACTTGGGTAGCAATACAAGTTGGAAGGAGTATATCATCACGACATGTGAATTTCCCAATCCCCAAAGTTTCATTTTGATCATTCTATACCTACTTTTAGCTAACTATGAAATCATTGTTTAAGTTGTTTAAACTTTTAATACTGCCCTCAGGTACAGTTTACAAAGCATATCAAAATGATTGGAGGATTATTTGTGTACAATCACAAGGGAGAAGTACTGATTTCTCGGGTCTATCGAGATGATATCGGTCGGAATGCTGTGGATGCGTTCCGGGTCAATGTTATTCATGCGAGGCAGCAAGTGCGCTCTCCAGTGACAAACATAGCTCGAACATCGTTTTTCCATGTTAAAGTAAGTGTTGAATTTACATCCTAACCATATTTAATATAAATGCATTAATAATACTCTTCAATTCCTGACACTAAATTTCAACATGCCACAATTTGTTGACAAAATTCTCAATTATTCCATCGTAAAATTCTCATTTGCAAATGCAACTGACATCTAGCTGTGAATAGCTCTTAACTTCTTAGATCAGTGAGAAAACGCAGTAAGTAACAAAATCAGCGCACTTTGCTCTTTAAGTAATTATCATGAGACAAATGTATCCTAAGTTATCTTTCCAATGAGAAGAATGATTGATCTAGTATCATTCAGCTCACACCTGCTCAGGAAGAAATTAGGTACTTGGACTTTCTAAAAAAAAAATTTCTTTTGGACAGAAATCCTTGTCATATTTTTTATAGCTGCCTGATCTAATTGTAGGATTACAATCAGGGGAGCAGTTTTGGAGATCGAAGCTCTCAAAAGTAGATTTTGAGGGTAGTGATCCATTTTTACCCTTATTTTGATTCTTATGTTGTTAAGCAGCAAAGTAAAATCACACAAAATCAAAAATCAGAAGAAAAATTGAAAGAGGAGTCATCTTATCCCAAAGTTATGGACAGCAAATTTTTGCAAACCCCAAGCGGCACGTCATAAATTGGCCCCTGGCTTTTTTTGAACCATGATTTATCAATGTGTGATTTGCTTCCCTGTATTCTCATGTTTCGCTATTATCATCAGAAATTTCAAATTTTCTTCTCAAGTAGGTAATCACTTTGAATTCTTCAAGCAAAATTCAATGAATCATTTCTCCTTTGTTTTCAGAGAGCCAACATTTGGCTTGCAGCGGTGACCAAGCAGAATGTCAATGCTGCAATGGTGTTCGAGTTCCTCCTGAAAGTCATAGATGTAATGCAATCGTACTTCGGGAAAATCTCTGAAGAGAATATCAAAAATAACTTTGTGCTTATCTATGAGCTGTTAGATGGTAAGTTAGTTCTCTAACCATAACAATGTTAAGGCAGTATGCCAGTAGGAATGGAAATACTTTCAAGAGGTGTATGAAGCAAAATTCACGTTTCCGTCAACCACGGCAACTTATTATTAGAATGAAACTGTATAAGTAAAATATTCTAAGCCAAGGAGTTATTTATCTAAAGAAATAGAAGGAAGTAAATTTACAAAGAAGTCATCCAAACAGGGTTTGAGACAACTTGGGCTCTCAAATAAACCCCTTTTTTTTTCATTTTCAATTCTTTGAATCTTGAAAAATTACCTAAATTTACTTGATAGCCATTGAGTATTAATTTTGTTTTTTGTACTTTGAAAAATCTATTTCCTCAACAGAGGCTTCCAAAATGTCAAATATTTCCATTCGCACATCATACTTTTGTTTTCTCTCCTTGGAAGCAAAGATTAAACGCACATGGAAAGCATTAGTCCTTCATTGAGTCACACTTTATGGCCTTGTAAATTCTGTCAGAATGCTTAAAGAAGTCATGTTGTTGATTTTAGTGATAGAAACTTGAAAAGCAGCTGGTTTTGGTTTTTGAAAATCTCTCATAAACTCTGATAGTAGTAATGCAAATGGATAGAACTAACTAGAATCAGCCCGACTGTATTTTGTGTTGTCAAATTTCCTTTCATGTCTTGCTTCAGCCTAAAATCATGAAACTTGTAAGGGGTTTATTTATGTCTGGTCTTTAATTTATGGGCTTCATTTCTGTTACAGAAATTCTTGATTTTGGTTACCCCCAAAACTCAGATACTGGGGTTCTCAAAACATTCATTACCCAACAAGGAGTCAAATCTCAGTCAAAAGAAGAGCAAGCGCAGATCACATCTCAGGTGACGGGACAGATAGGTTGGCGACGAGAGGGTATCAAGTACAGAAGAAATGAGCTCTTTTTGGACGTCCTTGAATATTGTAATCTACTAATGTCCCCTCAAGGTAAGATTCCCTCAGGTCCAGAAAGTTATTTTTCATTTTATTAAAAGTGATATTTTTTAATCCGTAAATTAACAAACAAGCCATGCTTAATATTCATATTGTATGTTTGTATTTAAATTTTGTGTACTTAATTACTGAACTTAGAACACAGTTATGGAGACATTTGTTATGTCGCAGGGCAAAATGTGCATTAACATGAGGATAAAAAAAATGAGATAACTGTATCATAACTCAGAGCAATTATTTCTGCATCATTTCTTGCAAAGAACACCCAAAATTCTTCAAATCCTTTGGCAACAGTTTAAAGTTTAAGGATGAAAAAACAGGAAATTCAAGAAAACTGCTTTTGAAGTTTGCCGGTGTTGTTGTCGGAATGATCTGCTTTTAATATCGTTATAAATGACTCATGTCCAACGATATAGAAATGGAAGATTGGTGGTGGCCTACAAAAAACCTAACTTATGAAGCGGTCATTTGATAGGCAGTCCTATTGCTATTCTCGTCATTACCTCAATAATATGAAATCTTACAGGAGTTTTTACTTTAAATGAATTTGCATTGAAATTTGTATCGTAAATTCACCTAAAGAATGGTTAGGTTTCACATTTGACCATAGATTATCAAACAGTTGGTTCTGAGTTTGATTTAAGTCCTGATTCAACGATAGTCCCATAAGAAACCATGGAAGCCAACTGTCCTCATCCTAACTAATTGTTGCTCCTGGTATGCTACAAATTTCACTGTTGGCGTAGCACAGGATTGCCCTATCTATAGTTTCTAGATCGTTGCTCATATCTGGCAGCTAGAAATCTCCATGAAGTGCACTTTTTAATTTTTATTTTTTGTGTTTTTAGGCCAAGTTTTATCTGCTCACGTAGCTGGTAAAGTCGTGATGAAGTCTTACCTGAGTGGAATGCCGGAATGTAAGTTCGGAATCAATGACAAAATCGTGATGGATTCAAAAGGTGGGAAGAACTCTGGGAGTCTTGGTCTCTATGTTGCTGGTGGTGATGACGCATCGCGCTCTGGAAAGCCAGTTGTTGCCATCGATGATTGCCAGTTTCACCAGTGCGTCAAACTATCCAAGTTTGAAACTGAACATTCCATCAGCTTCATACCTCCAGATGGAGAGTTTGAGCTCATGCGGTATGTACCATCGTCATCTTCATCTAAACTACTGTTTTTTCTCAAGCTGAAAAATATAAAAATCTATTTCCGGATTCCTGACTGACTCTCAATTCATATAAAGCATAGAGAGTCGTAATGTAAATGGGAGAGCTGGCGCTATATTCAGTTCCGAGCCCGGTGTGCCGAGCTTTGGTCACTTTTTTGATACATGTTCGATCTAAAATGGCGGTGTAAAATATTTGGTAATTCCTATCTTCTTTGTTTACATCAACGACCGGGGACCTGTGTATCAAAAACAATTGATCGTATCCCGAGAAAGTTACCCAGCGTCACACAGGAGTTTCGGCACTTGGGAGCTGGAAATTGCTTAAAAGTGGCGCCAGCTCTTCCACTTACATTACGACTCTGTGTACTCTATGATTTAAAGTATTCAATTCTAATTAGACAAATGTTTGTCCAGCATCTTGATACTTAATTCTGTGGTTTCTAAACTTTCACACATAAAATAATTACCTATTTGCTCTTTTTTAGTAGTATCTTTTCTATTTGCTTTCTTGCATTGATTTAAGTAAACTTCAAGAATTTTGTTATTTTATGTACAGGTATCGGACTACAAAAGACATTTCCCTTCCATTCCGGGTAATTCCTTTAGTGCGTGAAGTAGGGCGGACACGCATGGAAGTCAAAGCTGTTTTAAAATCAAGTTTCAAACCATCTCTACTCGGTCAGAAGATTGAGGTTAAAATCCCCACTCCCCTCAACACCTCCGGAGTTCAACTCATTTGTCTGAAGGGAAAAGCAAAATACAAGGCCTCCGAGAATGCAATTGTGTGGAAGTAAGTTTCATTTTGTCTTATAATATTGTTATATAATATTGTTTCATAATTTGTTTAATAGTGTAGAGTATCATCTTTATACACTTTATTACTGTATCAAATGGTTCATATTATGTCTCTAAAAGCAGTCATAAATTAATTGTAGTATCTATGAGCACAAATCTTTGCTGAAACGCATGTTAAGTTCATAATTCCTTTGGATTCAATGAAATAAAAGTATATTTTCTAGTAGCTGATAATGCTCCAATGATGTGTGCCTTGTCTCATTGCAACATTTCAATGGTACAAAATTTCAAGTTTCTGGTTTTTTTCTCTTTTTGCTGAACAAAAAACAGGGGCACAAAAAGTTCCATGATGCCCTGTGTTTCCTGTGATCCATCAGTTTTGCTTCACAACAATATTTTCAATTCACCTTTCTTTTATTTGTTTTTTTTTTAAAGTGATACGAAAATCGAAAGCAATCTTTTTTTTTTTAAATTGCCCCATGGCTATACGTATCTCATATTTGTGGGCGTATGTCTCTTGTTTGCTGCAGTTCAACCGCAATTTTATCTCATGTTAGCCTATTTCACAGCTGCTAGGTCTACTAGAGTCAATTTCATTCATTTTGTTGTTGCTCGTGAGACTGACCTATCAAGAGAATTAAGTATGTGAATCTCAACCAAAACTAACGATTTTTATCTAACATAATTTAATATTGTAACTCAGTAACGTAAGTAGGAGAACAGTAATCTCCTGCTGTTGGGCAAAACTCTGAAAGAAGATGAGAAGCACCTCGTATGTCAAATATCACCTAAAATAAATGCATCTGAATCCTGAAACTGCCGTAGAATAAGTAAAAATCCGGACAGTGCATGATCTTCAATATATTTTTAGCTCTCAAAGAAGAGGAAAGAAGCATTTGATGATTTTAAGTGCTGCAAAGTAGTGGATTACATATTTATGTCACTTAATTACCCTCTAACTTTCTGCATCTCTTCTTTGAGATTATTGTCTTCCTATATCAAGATTTGCCTCATGTCCAAGATATGCCCTCCGTTCACTGCATTTCCTGGATCACGAGGTGGAGCATTTTTTGCATGCCGGCAAAAATGACCCTCCAAAATTAATGTATTTCTCAGTTTCTATATTTTTGTTTTGTTTTTTTAGAATCAAGAGGATGGCAGGAATGAAAGAAACCCAACTCTCAGCAGAAATCGAGTTGCTAGAGACTGATACGAAAAAGAAATGGACCAGACCTCCAATCTCCATGAATTTTGAGGTACGCTTTGTTTAATATTTAATTACTCTCATTGGTTCATGAACTGAACAGGATGCAGTATAACCTTGAGTATGAGGTTGAGTGCTCTCAAGGAATTGGCCGAAATCGTTGGTCTTTTGTGGTTGTTGTTAATTAAAAAACTGCTTAAAAAGGCAATTAACAACATTCAAAGTTCATTCCTGCAATTTTAGTGATGTTGCTTTAAACTTGCATACACCTAGCTATTTTGCAGCTTACTCTCGCTCAATCTGTTATTATCACCAGCTAAATGGTGGTTAGCCCAGTGACAAAAAAAAAGGCAGCTTCATAAATTTTTAGACTTTTAATTGTATAATATGCTGCGTTGGCACAAGTGAAACTTGTGCAGGTCAACTTAAATCTGAGGTTCAGTCCAAACGGACAAATATTGGGAAAATAAGTCAGCAAAGAATTGACTAACTAAATGTAACTCATTATCAGTTGAAACTGGTTTGGTGGCTGATATAAAATTGGCGTAGTTCATCAAGACTACAACTCTGTATCATCAGAATTCAAGATGGCTCTTCTATCACTTTTTGGCTGGTTTTTGAGTATACTTACAACCATGTTGATCATGTTTCTTCAGTACTTACCTGTCACCTATAATTTTTAAAAATATATAATAACAAGATGTGCGCTACATAAACCTCTAGACTTGTTTTATCCTCTCAGAAGTTTCTAAACGACCCTGCAACTAATTTTTTGAATGATGCATACATATAACTTGAATACCACCTGTTTTTTCAAGCTAAAACTAGATGTCATTTTTAAAATCTCGGAATAGCAACGTCTCAATTATGAGGACTTGATCACAGTTTATAAGCACAACAAGAGTTTTCTTTCTATAAGAATCTTTGTAATGTTCCTGACTTTATTACCCTTTTGGCAGGGGCAGCAGTGTCTGGCAATTAGGTTCAAATCTCCCTGTGCGCTTCACGCTTTGAAGTTTGAACATTTGGAAAGACATGCTCTCCTAGCATTCTCCCATGTTTAAAGGTCTCAGTAGGTCACACTTAAAGTTTCAACCCTCTAAGTGAAGTCTGTTCTTACTCTCTAATTTTCTGTTCCGGAAAATATAACGCTAGCGAGTAGGCCTCTGGAGTCTGAAATTTTAAGGGCAGTCCACTGAGACCCTTAAACATAGCTGAATATCTGGGAGATATTAATTTTTAAAATAATAGGTTTTTTTTAAAGAAGAATCCTCTGAAATGTGTGTCCTCATCAAAAATGTATGATGTATTCTGAAAGCGCATCTGTGTTTCTCATTTCAGGTTCCTTTTGCACCATCTGGTTTTAAAGTCCGTTACCTGAAAGTGTTTGAGCCAAAACTCAATTACTCTGATCACGATGTCATCAAATGGGTGCGATACATTGGAAGGAGTGGTCTTTACGAAACTCGATGTTAAAGTATATGTATTGTTATTATCTGAATTTATGAAAAACAAAGAAAAAATCTATGTGAAATCGTTTCTAATAACCTATATAATTAAGATGGAACAAAAAACAAATTAGTAGCATCGCGACAAAGGCTTATATTGTACCAAAAATAATCAGTATAGCTCTTAGCAAAGTTGTTAGCCTCTCAAATCGCAGATTTGAAAATGTTTTATTTATTGTAAAGTTGATTCGTATACTCAAACATTCTCCTCTATATAATATCCGTGATTATTATTCCTTTGATGTTTTTCTTTTAAGTAAATCATTATAGCACTCACTAGATAAATGAGAAAAAAACAAGGTAAATCTAGTTTTACATAGTTAATAGACTGTTAGCCTTCTATTTAGATGGAGCTTTGCGGTAGGGATGTATCTATGCTTCTGTGCAAGCCCTGAGATTAGTACGCATTCTTGCATGAAAGAGTTCATGTAGGAATGCAGGTGTATTACTTCTGTGAGACTGTCATTTTGATCCGTGTCTTTTTTCATGTTTCCTGTTAATATGTGATCATAGTATTATCCCGATAATAATGACCTATTATTCATCGTTGCTTCATCAAATTTTATTTCAAACTCATAACCTTTAAAGACTGCGCAGAAAAAACATGCTGAGGCTGTTTCTTTTTCTGTCTTACCAACTAACTTGAAAACGTGCTGACAGAGCTGATTAGTATTTAAAATTTGATGGTGCAGCATTGAATTCTTTTTTGCCTGTTTTTTTTCCTCTTACGTATAGAATAAAATAATCTACGTTATTGTTATTAGTATTTTAACTTTTTTATGTTCTTTATCTTGCTAATACATTGATTCCAGTGTCGAAAATCTATTTTGAGAAGCAGTGTGCTTCAAGGATGAATTTCACAATGATATTTAGATATTTTTCGTAGGAATTGATTTTTATGTAATATGTCAAGTCTCTGAAGATCTGCTTACCTTTTAAGGCATTCTGTGTACATTTTTTCTTTCATATCTGCTGTTGAAAGTTATCAAAACGGTTTTTAAAATCGAAAGAACAGTTTGCATGGCATTCAATTTTAAGTTCTAGAAGTTAGTGCTGTTTGGATCGCTGTCATCAGTCATCAGACTTTGCAATACCTTATGTGGCCAATCATCAGGAAACTCAGTATTCACCTTACCTGCTGGCTGATACAAAATCTTTGCATTTATAATTTATACAACATCTATGTTCCTGATTCTTGTGCGGTGAATTATTTTTGTTTTAAATGTCCAGTGGAATTTAATTACTTATTAAATCACTGGTTTCCCCAAGTTGAAATTTTTTAGGGATTAAAATTCTGTCAGTCATCTAAGTTATTATATGTATTGTTATTCAGGCAGATCTTAACGTACTTTTGATCGTACTGTCAAGACTTTTAAGATCTCATACACTGATTGATCAGCCATAACTGTATGAATTATTACAATTGTAAATTACCTTTTTTTTTTCATTATTAACAAATGAAATTCTTTTGAATTTTTGTGTAAGTTTTTTGTTAACCATTTTTTCGGAAGTTACCTCAGGTTCCCTTAGATAATCATCAGATTAGGATAACATCCTTTAATAACAGAGAAATATCTCCGAAATTTAACAAGATGAATCATGAAGTATAAATGACACCCTTCAAACCTGTAAACCCGATGAACAATATATTCTGTCAAAAGAATGCCTGACAACTGCCATACCTAAAATTCAGTGCTTAACTTCAGACCAATATCTGCTGTTAAAAGCGAAATAAATGTGATTGCATTTTTGCTAATTTGCCTCTATTTCGGATAGTTTGAGGTTTAAAATAATGAAAGGAAATTCTGATAACACAGGTAATCAATTAGTTCCACTCTAAAGAGAGGAAAATGTGCTAAGAGCAAACATATTGGTCAACTATTTCAAACCTGTTTGACTTGACTTTTACCTTTTCTTTCATCAAGGTAAATGATTTATGTGTTAGACTAACGAGGAAAGGGGTATAAGGGTGCCTCTAAAAAGGGCAGGGGGTTGAGTCAACCTCATATCAGGTCTCCTTGACAATGAATATCAATGGCCAAAGTGCGAAACCCTGCTGTAAGACCGTTTTCAAAGTTGCATATTTCCTGTCACTCCTTATTTTTTCCTTGGAAAACTGGTCAACACGATTTTTACCAAACCTCCATGATTTTCCTCTTTGTTAGCAGAAAATTCTGCATAAACAAGCAATAAAGTAGGCTTATTTCTTTTCAAAGGAATAAAAAGGAGTGGAAATTTTGCAGCATTGCAGTAAATACATGGACTCCAACTTTGGCTATTGATATGCTCGTTTAAAATTTGGGAGTGCAAAAAGGATTATGACCAGCATGTGACGAAACATTGGACTGCATATTTTGCCTCTGCTTAGAAAGATTATGACTCCACATCTTTAAATCATCATTTTCTACCCCTTCTAAAATTCAGACGTTTCCAAGAATAAATGCTTGTTGTAAGTCCAGTTTTATGAAAGTCATACTCAATTTTTCAATGCTTCAAAACTCAGTGTTTTTAAGTTGAAGTCATTAGTCAGATTGCAAAAGAAGAAATAAAACAAAAATATTCAGGCCTGGGTAGGTATTTATTTTCATTAAAGCACTTCATACTCCTAGTTCCCATTGGAAAAAATTACACGCATCGATGATGAAACTGCAAGAATTCATCTTGATTACTGATGTCGCAGATTTTCGAGATTAAGTGGAAAAGTAAGTCTCATTTTTTCAAAACTTCCCTGATTTCCTTCCTCTGTGTAGAATTTTTTGTGCGATTAGCAAGCAGGAATGTTGATTTATTCACTCTCAGCGTATTTGCCATCGAGTTATTTAAGTTTTCCGCCCCTTTCTCGGTGCAAATTTTCCTTGCAAGCAATCAACCTAACACACCCCAATTTTGCAGGGGGACTTGTTGCCAAACTGCCAGTGTAAGAATCTCAAATGACCCTGTAAGAAGAGAAAAACGTGATACCTGTGGACCAAACGGCAACACTGGTCCTACTCACCCTCTTTTGTAAATAAACAGTATTTCTTCACGTTTGACAACGTCTGTTCAATCAAGCTCTCTCTAGCGATCTCTTGACGAAGTTATCGTGATAGAAGAAGAAGAAATGTTGTAAATCTCTTACTCATTATCATTTACCTGTTTTTCTTGTGTTTCTGATACTGATAACTGGCGTGCCGTGTTTCGTGCAAGTATCGTGTTTATTCGCTTTGAATTTGTAATTTTATCATCAAATCCGAATGTTTTGTATGGCGATCGGTATCGCAAGATTCGTGCTAGTTATTTGAAAGTTTAGTGTCCTGTGTTTCGTGAACTGGAAAGTTGGTTATAATTCATGGTTTGGGATGTTATGGATCTGGATCTGACGAGGCACCAAAGTTTTGGTATGTTTTCTTTCTACCACGTATCCAGTCATCAGTAATTAAGTTTCTCATCTTTTCATTTCTAACATCCTTGTTTGTGTGGAGGAAACAGTTTCCTTCTTGAAATCTTTAGCCTGACAGGTCTTGATCTTACAGGTGCATCAAAAGCTCAATTGGACATTGGAGATGTTAACACACGAATTCTCAAGTCAAGAAGATGAAAGTTTGAAACATCCATATGATTATTACCATGACCCTTTTGTCAATACCTATAATACTCCCCCGAAGCTCCTTGGGCAAACTTCTTGACCTGACTATCACCACCACCTATAAATCAGAGCATGATAACTCTTCTTACTTGTCCTGACCCATCTATTTTGGAGAGTACCTTTGTTGTTTTATAATTGATAACAAGCCATTCTAAACATCTATTCGTGACAGCGGAGCGGTGTGCTGCAAAATAACAGTAGCACAAATGGTTTTGCGTGTCGCAAATTAGTCATTGAGCCTTGAACTAAGTAGTTTTGAATTTAGTTTACACCTGGTATTTATATGATTCGTCAACTAAACTATTGCCCCATGGTTTGAAGATATTCTAATCAGGTAGTTTAAATACTTTTCTCTTACTCATGGTGATGCAAATTTGTTTCTGACAACACCTTTACCCTCTCTGCTAACTACCTCTGACAAAAAAGCACAATGAAGCTAGTGTGCTGTTGTTTACAGAGGCATTAGCAACAGCTGTTAAAATTTGATAGTTGGTGATTAATAGAGCTCATACCAAATAAGTTCATGCAATTCCAGCGTGAGACAGGAGATCTGCCATCTTCATTTTAGTCGGTACTTAAATTTATGCCAAAATGAAGATGACAGGTGCCGTGTCACAGGTGACCTCCCAGGCTGGGTGTTCCACACGGCTACTTTTTTTTTCACATAGCGAAACAGACATGTGTGTACGATCAAATTATTCAGCTTGAAAGAATATTGAGCAAATAGGAATTACTCTTGAAAAGTGTTTTGATCTCTACTTACGCAGGTTTAAGTAAGATGTTCCAAGTAAAGAGTATGGTTGAAGAGATGAGACTTAGTGGCACTCTTTTAATTTGTCTTTGTATCGCGAAAAGACTCTGTGTCATGTATTCTTTTTGTGCTGTTCTCCAACCATAGGGTATTTTTTCTGTTTGAAAAGTTGCCCAGATGTGTAATGACTGGCTCATTGTCACTTGAAAATAATTGACCGAGCACTTTCATTCGTTTCATCTAAGTATCATACATTATGGAAATCGCTGGAGAAGACTATTTTGCCAGCAATTAAAATAAGGGACCTGTACTTCCTTCTCACTTAGGTACCCTGATCAAAACCTTACTCAAACCCAGACCTATCTATGAAGAATTAGCTTGAATTTCTTTCAGTGTCATTGGCAATTTTGGCAGAATAATCATGACTTTTTACACCTCTAGCCATCTTTTTACATCAAACAAACGATTATTCTACCTATTTTTTGCCAGGAGCAGAGCGGAATTGCAGTCGAACTTTTCCGAATTTGCTGGCAATAGGGACAACTACCTACCTCTGTTAAAATACAAATTCAGCTAGCTGCTCCTTGTGCAAAATGAAAATAATAATGTAGTCCCACTGTGAACTTTTCTTGTGTTTTTCCCAAGTTCGCGTACTGTCCTGTGATAGACATTCAGCTAAATTGTCCTGGGGGTTTGAAGACCACCAATTTGTAAAAAATGCATTATTGCACTTAGGTCGATGAAAGGCACTCTGCATTATACTCTCCGGGGAAACAAATTTTCTTAAAATTGAATCAATTTCACGCATATTGTCCATTACAGTATTTCACAATTGCTCAAACAGTTTATTTTTGTAGGAATATACCTACAACTGAATAAATTGCCTAGAGGAAAATGGAGAATTTCTTCTTCCAATTGACTGAAATCAGTGTTTCCAAGGATCTTACTCTATGAAGTGAAATCATCTGAGTAAGGCATAAAACCTGAGGCGTGGAGCACTNGGGGGGGGGGGGGGGGGGGGTTGGATCGCAGAGCGGTCAGGGGTCGTAGCCATCTAGTTTCTTCGATTGGCCATCAAGAAAAGTCTTCTTTCTTGTAATATCAGCTCGCTTTTGCGCCTTTGCCTTTATGATGCAAAGATCATGATCTTTGATCGTACCTATCTCTCCGCGTGATCAAATGCGAAAATAAAAAAATGTAGGAATAAAAAATCAATGCATGAATTACACGTAAATAAACAAGCAATTTCAACAAAAAAAAAGTAGACAAGGGTGCTGGTATCGAGGTCTAAAGTATAGCTGCTGAGTACATCGATTTTGAAACTGAGCAGAAAAAGAATAGATATCTTAATTTTGTAAAGTTGGGTCTCTTGGAGGCGCCAAGATAGCATCTGAGGCCATTTCCGCCATCTTGGATTTTTGTATTTTGAAAATTTGACATAAACTTCGAACTTTTCGTCGTTTATTAAAAACAATCGCACCCTCTTATTATAATCCAATCGTGCCCAAATTTCGCCCTGCTCTGCTTTGGTATTTTGTCATAAAGGTTTGCTATTGGCAACCGATGTTCAAAACGCACAGTGCGTGTTAAAGTTGCCCGAAAGTGAAAGTACAAACAATTGCGAGCTTTGGCCCCAAGGGGGGGGGGGGTGCGTACCCCTCCGAAAATTGACGGATGGACTCTAAATTTTTCTCAGCTCTATTCTCGTCACGATAGTTCCGAAATTCCTACTGGGAACTAAAATCAAGACTACGGCCACATCCATCATCTTGGATTTTCGAATTTCAAAAATTTTAGTTGATCAAGTCGCCCGTCAAAAAATGGTAACTGGTACCGAGTTTCACGAAAATCGATTGCGCAGAAGCCGCACACCGTAAGATCAGTCGGACTCAACACAATGGTGAACGATACCAGTCCATTTGCACACGTTGGCGCGCCTTCAATTTCGATTGATACTGTGCAATACTTCTGTGGCGGAATAGTTGCACCCAGCGCCTTCAAGAGTATTGCTTCGACTTGATGGCAGGAGATCACGATTTCCGCTGATATCACAGTCTAGCGCTTCCGCAAGGACACATTTAACACCACTGACGGTGAGGTAAATAACATCCATACCTCAATTTGCGACGTTGCAAAGTTTTCCCTGCCAATTGATGTTGGTTAATCAATAAGAACACTCTAAAATCTGCCGATAATTTTCCGAGGTATGATGGAAAATATTATTTTAATGTTTCATTCATGTCTATTTGTATGTTCTCGTTAAAAAAAGAATGAGAAGTAAGTATGTGTATGATTCAGATGATAATTGAACAAGATCAACAATTAGACCAATTATTTTAATTGAACAAACATGAACAATTAAGTGAGCAAAAAAAATTATCGCATCATTCGCTCCAACTCCTTCTTCATCTCTCAGTGGATCGTAAATAGATTGGTTCAACATGTAAACACAGCCCTAAAAATCAATTCAGCAATTTGAAGGGACGGATTTTTTATGATAGATTATATTCTTATGAGTGCAAAATGACGATGAAAAGTGAAATCGTCAGGAATTTTCTTATTCTCAGCTTTTCCAACTTACCTAAATCCTAAATTTTTTGTTTAAGGTTCTGTTCAATCGTTTTGAACCAAACGATACATCGAACCACTATCGAATACAATCCGTTGGCCTTAGGGGTACAAGAACCATACTTGGGGAGTAGCCGAGTTGGTCCCCGAGAGTCCGAGTCGGTCCCCTTTCGAAATCAGGAATTCTACTCTACGCACAGTGGATCGAGTCGATGCGAGAGGTCGGACAAAGTGTAGAAACTTTAAGAGCTTATAACTCCCACTGGAAAAAATTCACATTTGATCTAGAGTCCAGACTCCTAAAAACATTGACAAGAAAAAATACTCTTGATTCAATCAGATCTAAGCTTAAATCAAGAACCAAGCTTCTTAATTTGAGCGGATTTCCTTTTGATTTAAGCTTAAATCCGATTAAATCAAGAGTCCTTTTTCTTGTCAATTTTTTCAAGAGTCTGGACTCTAAATCCAATGTGTTTTTTTTTCCCCCAGTGCCGTTTATAAAACATTTTAAGCTTCTGAGGGCGATTTCATTGGATTCCTCGTGAAATTTTCCTTTAGAAATACCCCTATAAATTTAAAATGTGACGAAATAAACATCAAAATTTGCAGGTTTAGTCAACAATTTTATGTCCGACCTCCGTGGTTCACTCGATCCACTGTGCTCCGGTCCGAGTTGGTCCCCGGCACAATTCCCTTCCCATTTTACACTGGCTGAGGACTATCAACCAAAACGGCGAGCGTGCTTAAAAATATGACAGGCATGCAGACAGTTTGTTTAATATGATAGTTTGTCAATTGTCCGTCGAAATCGATGCACTTTTAAAAATTGTAAGGATAAAATGTAAAAATGGTCGATAAAAATGTAAAATTATGTAGTATGGAACGAATCAAACGTGTGGAAAATGTGGCAATCGAATTGTGGGGAGGAACTTGAAGGATATGGCCTTAACATATTTTAAACGGTCTATTTGGTGAGACGTGTACTGAGCACAGATTCGAGAAATGAGTTAATTCTGTCTTTAGCGCCTGGCTCGTAGGCCTTGTCTCCACGGGACGTTTTCGTGGGATTTGTCCCAAGTTCGAATCGCAGGATTGAAACTTCTGGGATTTTTCCCAGTTACCGCCTCCACGGGACGGGGCTCATACAGTCCTGCGACTAGTTTGCGCGGGAAGATAAATTAGTTAAAATCGAGTATTTAACCGGGATTAAAATGATAATTGCACTCAATTGACAATTAGACACATTATTTTAATTAAACAAACATGAACAATGTAGTAATGAATAAAATATCGCACAATTCGTTTTCACTTCTTCTTCTTCTCTCAGTGGGTCCTAGGAGTGCAAGTACCATACTTGGTACTGGGAAAAATCTTAATATTTAATTTGAAAAATAGAATGAAATTGTGAATCAACCACTGTACTAATTGCGAGG